GACACAGGTGTTTCTGATTAAGCTAATTAGTGATGTTGATAAACACACAGACTCACAGACACACGCACTCCTCTCTCTCTCTCTCTCTCTCTGTATGTCTCTCTCCCTCTATCTCTGTATGTCTCTCATACTATCTATCTATTTTCAGCAATGTTTATGCAATTCATTTCAGCTTTCAGCATTCCAACGCATTTTCAGCAGGAAATGCATTTTCTAGTTCATTTTAATATCTTTCCAGCAACCCACAAATCAAAGAATAAAGACACTTGGCATCTTATTTTGAAAACCGGATGTTCGTCTGTAGAAAACAGGATGTTGTCTCACTTTAATCTTTCCGCTAACTTTGCAAAGTCCTTCGCTCACTCCTGATCTGTGCCGTGTGTTTGCGTTTACCGTAAGTTTCAGCGTATAGGCGCACTAAAATTTAAGTCTCTGCTGAGTTGACCATGGAGATCTGAGTGTCTGCTGACTTGACCGCAGTAGAAATGCGCTCATCCACACCCCGGGAACAACACCGAATTGTCGGCCGAGATACCACCAGAAACGCGCTCATCCAGGCCGAGCAACGAGGAACATTACACGGCTACAATACCTGCCCACTGATAAAATCCGGGAGTAACCGTGACTCTCTTAGGTTTGGGTGGGGACGTGGTTAGGGTTAGAGCAGGGTTAGGGTGGATACAAATTAATAAAATATAACTCCACAACACCCTGTCGTCAAGTCCGTCAGCCCTCGTAACAGGCCGCGTGGCAACAACTCATGGGTGGCGAGGGTAGAGGCGAGGCAGATCACAGAAAAATAATAAAGACTAGAGTTTGGCAAAGATATGTTGATTAGAAACGTATTTGTAATACGTCAAACACAAACATAATCAGGGAGAAAATGCGTTTATGGTTAAACGTAATTGAGAATGCATTTTAGTTTTAGGGGAACGTAATTTTTAGGAGACAGGGCTGCTCTGAAAAACACTTGGAAGCTGGGGCGATTTCTTCAGCCACAATAGAGCTAGCTTTCACAGCATTTTTGGCTGTAGCTTTTGTAAATATATTCTGCTGCAATTGCAGTCTGCCTTTTAATTTTTGGACAATTTTATGTTTTTCCTGGAGGCTAAATTTAGCATACTTGGCTCCGTGTTTGGTGTCAAAATGCCGACGTAAATTGTATTCCTTCAACACCGACACTGCCTCATAACACAGAAGACAGACCGTTTTTTCTCCTTGAAGCACAAACATGCATTCGCTTTCCCATCTTTCATTAAACTGCCTTCCCTCTGCATCAATTTTTCTCTTCTTGGACATTTTGGGATTATTTGTCGATGTTTTTCAACTCAATCACTTGTTGGAAAACCACTTTAGTTAAACGCAGATATGGAAAACCTTCTGTCTAGCGGCAGGATGCCGTTATTTTGCAGGTCAAAAAAATCGACAGATGTAGATGGGAGATGTAGTTTATGGTCATTGTACACTGTAAAGCAGTAGTAGTAGTTTTAAGACAATCATATGCCTTTCAAGCTCTCGCGGGCCACATAAAATGACGTGGTGGGCCGGATTCGTGCACATGTGTTTGACACGTGCTTTACAGGATAACGGCGTTGTAAAAATGTTTTTCAGAACTAAAGATCCTAACAACGATGTAGAGACAACACTGGCAGTAAAAGGCAATAGCCCACATCAGTTGTTAATGTTAATTCCTCAGGTTTTGAGCTCCAACAAGCTTTATGCCTAAATTATCTGCAGGATCACTCAAGGGCCTGACTGAGTTGAACATCCAGGTTTTTCATCTGAAGTTATAAGTTGTGACTGGTCCCCGTGGACAAAGACACATTGGTCAGAAGTACTCCTCTGAGTAGAGTCACGCAGCCACCAATTACAAGAGACATCTGTCAGTCCTTCATTCAGCTCTATGATACCCCTGCCCCTCAGAGCAGGAGCCAAGTGAACATAAGGTACATTACGTTATTACTGTTGCAAAAAAAGGCCTCATGTAGACTTAAATTCGTTGAATAAAAGCGCATGACACTTTCCCAGTATCGTTTTTCATTTTTACATTGGACTAATATATATATTTTTATATTTTTTTGTTGAATCATATCGTAAGAACTGATCTCCTTGTAATACACACCCATACCTTGTGAGTTAAACTGAAGTAGTAGATAGAGAAATCTAACATGATGTCTGGCCTCTTTGGTGCTGTCCCTTTAAGCAGTCAGTATCGCTGTGATTGGCCTGATGAGCGAGTGTGTTTCAGCCTGGACTGCTGTAGTATGTGGTGCTCCAGTGGGGTCCAGAGCAGCAGGTAGCTCCACTACAGTCACCCCAGTCCAGTCAGCTGAGCAGCATGCAGTGTCTGCTCCCACACTGACCTGTACACACACTCTGAGCAGAGACAGCATGAGTACAGTGTCTGAGCCTCTTGTTGGCAGCAGCAGGTCTCTGTCTGCAGCCAAGAGGCACAAAAGTATCAGGAAGAACTCCAGAAGGATTTATTCAGCCTACCAGGACCACCAGCAAGGGTGAGTTTGCTTTGCTCACTCTTCTTTTTCATTTGATTGATCTTATTTCTATCAGGATTTCTCTAAGCTTTTTCTGTCTCTGTCTGTCTCACGCTTTATGACTGTCATCTCCTTGAGCCTTAAATTACTTCCTGTAGCTTATACAATTAGTCTTTTTCTAAATCTAATCATCAGAGAAAATACAAAGAGTTTCCTGTGTGCTGTGTTACCATCGACTGCCATCCAGGGACATTCTGACCTGTTGGTCATCTAACGTTATGCATATTTAGTTTATTAATCACACAAGATTAAAGAGTTTGATTCTGTGAATTATTCATATGATAGATATGTTGATCAGTTATGAATGAAATGTCAAAACAGATTGCAACCACTTTAATTTGTCATTAATGTAACATCAACCATTTGGTTTATTTCTGATAATAACTTGGTGATGGTGGAGCTCATATGTTATTCAAGTTCTTCCAGTGATTGTAAACCATGTTTCGATATGGAGATACTCACAACCAGCCAAAATCCCGTTTCTCTATTTGTATTGGGGATGCATTTACATGATGGCTTGCTATGGAGGTTATTGATATATCTCGTTTATTTGGAGATTGCAATCTTTTATCATTTCCTTAGATATTTTCATCAGATTAACTCAATCTACTCAGCGGACACTAAAACAGCTGTCTTCATCTCCAGAGACTGTTTCTAAAATGTACACAACATGTATTACAAAAGGAGGGACGATGCGATTGAAGAAGTGCACTCGACATACAGAATTTCTTTCTCAAAGCTCATAAACACAAAATAATATACGATTTAATTATTGTGAGATGCAACACAGGATATATTATACCTTTTGAAGAAGATGATACACAAGATGAGAGGTGGTGAAATGTTATTTCCCATAAAAAAAAATAAAAATAGACTGATACAACAATTCTCCCTCTTAATCATCCCTTCTGACCCACTAAGTGTGTGGGTGTGTCTGTATCTACAGGAACCCTGCCCTCAGCCTCTTTCTTCTGATTTACTTCTTATTTTGTTATTATTATTCGGGACATTTCTGCATGCACAAGCACGCATTCAAGAGGAAGCTACGAAAATGGCAGACACAGGACCGAAAAAGACAAATATTGCGAGGTGAAACTCCAAAACAAGAGTGAATCTGGGGTTTGGTGGTACACCGAGCTCTCCTCTGGCTACCGCGGTCAGGGGACGTTCGCTCCTAGAGTCGCTGAGCCACGGGAGAGGGGCCAACTTTGAATGATGTGTTTTCAAATAGCTAGAGAAGGGTGTATCTGCAGTCCAGAGGCTAAATGACACAGCCACTTTACTATGAGACCCCCCCCCCCCATGCATCATTTTGTAAATCTCCATCTTTGTTCATCAGCCACTAGATACAGTATTGATCAGCACTAATGGTAGTTATCCCATTCACCAGAGATCTAGGAACTTGCCAGCAATTGGAGCATGGATCAGGATTTTTGACAGAATGGAAATCAGCAACTTTGGGATGTTGTTATTATTAATGAAATAGTATTTGATGAATGTGCATCAATTAGGCCGAAAGCAGACCTACAATAAAATTAAAATCATATCAAGTTAGCTTGACATGTTATCTAATTAACTACTAATTGGTCAAATTAAATGAAACATTGACAGTCACAGTTCTTTTTTTGAAATGTTTCTAATATGATCACTTCTGTGATGCACACACACATTCTGCAGTCCATGAGCGGTTAGAGGACACTTTAACTTTTCTGTTTCCACAGTAAACTGAACCGTAAACTAAGACACTCATGACATCATCACAAACCAAATCATCCATCCATCCATCCATTTTCCTCCGCTTATCCGGGGTCGGGTCGCTGTGGCAGCAGGCCAAGCAGGCTGACCCAGACTTCCCTCTCACCGGCAACATGTTCCAGCTCATTCTGGGGGATCCCGAGGTGTTCCCAGGCCAGCTGGGAGATGTAATCTCTCCAGCGTGTTCTGGGTCTCCCCCGGGGTCTCTTCCCAGTTGGACGTGCCTGGAAAACCTCCAGTGGGAGGCGTCCAGGAGGCATCCTAATTAGATGCCCGAACCACCTCAGCTGACTCCTGTCGACGCGAAGGAGTAGCGGCTCGACTCCAAGCTCCCTCCTGATGACTGAGCTCCTTACCCTATCTCTAAGGCTGAGCCCGGCCACCCTACGGAGGAAGCTTATTTCGGCCGCTTGTAGCCGCGGCCTTGTCCTTTCGGTCACGACCCAGAGTTCGTGACCACCAAATCAGTGGTGCATAAAAGAAGTTTACCGGCAGCCTAGAGTTTAACAGACAGAACTGTTTTTTTACTATTTACTGCACTGTTTGGGATAGCTGTCTTAAGGAAAATGTCCCCTCTGAGTATCATCTAATTGGTTTGATCTGATCCCAAACATTTCAGGCTACAACATCATCATTTATTTTTCTTTGTTGGAAAAGGTGGACAAACTGTCAGTAATAATAGTAACTTAATCCTCTTTTATTCAGTGAAACATAAGGGTCAGCCCAAAGCAGTCGCTGAGATGACATTCTTTATTGGTTTTGATTTCAAATATTAGCAGACCGGCCCCTTTTTCATTGTGCCCCTGTGTCTTCTTTTGCAGCTCCTCAGATGATGAAGATAAAGAGGATGAGCGGGTGGACAGCAACGACCCAGAGGAGATGTTCCAGAACATTCAGTACCAGAAGGAGATCATTGCCAACATTCGGACCAGACCCTGGCCAATGAGACGCAAGCTCAAAGTCTTAAAGTACCAAGTGTAATTGTTCCCTCTGTATCTGTGGTGTGATAGTTCACTCTTTCCCTCCTCTTCTGCTCTTAACACACACAAACACACTCACAAGGCTATTTTTCTCAATGAAAGTGCTGTATATATGTTAATGTCATTGAATTGAAAGCAAGTATGACTCAGCACCTGACTCACCAAAACCTCTGGAGGTATGAAGACTGTGTATCCTGCTGTGTTACTGAAATACATCCAAAGATCAACAGCTAACTGATACTATGCTATCTAACTGATCTCTTCTTTATTAGTTTGCCTCTTGTGGTGCATGAGTGTGACAAGACAACATCATCAATTACTCTTACAGCAACCCTGGCTTCTACAAATATATACTTTAATGCTAAATGCTTTGCCAAATGCATTTTGGACAGAAAGCAATTGCTGTGTGTATTATGTTCCCTGGCAGCAGTTCTTCCATTGCACAAAGTGCTGTGTGGGGAGAAGGGGGGGGGTGTACCAAGCTCTGGATTGTAACACCACAGACTAAGGTTTACATCCACAGGAGCATGTGATTAAGTTTAGGCTACCGAGGCACTTTGGTTCGGGAAATATGGTCCATCCATCCATCCATTTTCCTCCGGGGTCGGGTCGCGGTGGCAGCAGGCCAAGCAGGCTGACCCAGACTTCCCTCTCCCCGGCAACATGTTCCAGCTCGTTCTGGGGGATACCCGAGGCGTTCCAAGGCCAGCTGGGAGATGTAATCCCTCCAGCGTGTTCTAGGTCTTCCCCGGGGTCTCTTCCCAGTTGGACGTGCCTGGAAAACCTCCAGTGGGAGGCGTCCAGGAGGCATCCTAATTAGATGCCCGAACCACCTCAGCTGACTCCTTTCGACGCGAAGGAGTAGCGGCTCTACTCCAAGCTCCCTCCTGATGACCGAGCTCCTTACCCTATCTCTAAGGCTGAGCCCGGCCACCCTACGGAGGAAACTCATTTCGGCCGCTTGTAGCCGCGACCTTGTCCTTTCGGTCACGACCCAGAGTTCGTGACCATAGGTGAGGGTAGGAACGTAGACCGACTGGTAAATTGAGAACTTTGCCTTCCGGCTCAGCTCCCTCTTCGCCAAGACAGTCTGGTGCAGCACCTGCTTTACTGCTGCAGCCGCACCGATCCGTCTGTCGATCTCCCGCTCCATCTTACCCTCACTCGTGAACAAGACCCCGAGATACTTGAACTCCTTCGCTTGAGGTAGGCACTCCGTCCCCACCTGGAGGGAGCAATCCACTGGTTTCCGGCAGAGCACCATGGCCTCAGATTTGGAGGTGCTAACTCTCATCCCCGCCGCTTCACACTCGGCTGCAAACCGCCCCAGTGAATGCTGGAGGTCACGATCCGAGGAGGCCAACAGGACCACATCATCTGCAAACAGCAGAGAGGCGATCCCGAGACCCCCGAACTTGACGTTCTCCACCCCAAGGCTGCGGAAATATGGTCATTTGGGTTAAATACTGAAAAAGTAAAAAGGTCCTGCTCATATTTGAAGCTGCAATGTGTAACACCTGACCACATACTGCAAAGAAATAGGGGGCAGCATTTCACCTCAATACAATCTACATTTACAGTTATCAGTTATAAAAAGCCAACTACTAACTAACAGCAGGACAAGAATACGCAAGATTCAACCAAACCGCTGAAACTCTGAGAGACGGTCAAAATAACACGCTGTCGGTCTATAGTCCACGTCAGACATCTGTGTGTTTACTGTGACAATAACCGGGCCTGTACGGTCTGTGTTCACTTTGATAGATTGTTTATTGGATTAAATCCAGGGGTTAGCTGGTTAGCATGCGTTTTCACTAGATATCTCTGCAACACAATACACAGATGTCTTTGACAAAACGTCAACACTGTAAACACTTCGCATTCTGTCCATGATATTAGTACATTGTTTTGTTTTAAACAAAAATTATGACCAGATCTAACATGTTGCACCCAAAAGTCACTGTTGACTTTTTTTCAAGATAAATATTTCCCCCAACCTTGAGTTGCCTCAACATTACTATGTAGTTGCTACATGTGTATAGTTGCTACATGTGTATCTTGAAGGAAAGCACAATTAATTATGCTGTTAGTAAATATTTTGCAGATATATTCATTAAAACAGTGTCCTCATTATGTTAATAAAAAAAAATATTATTTGCTGTTGCAGATTAATAGTACATGGATGTCATTTTGAGGAGACAGCGTTGGTTCTCGAGGCGCTGCGGCTCTCAACTCCGTTTACAACTCAGAGGCCCACTGAAGAAGTGTTTTTGTACATATTGATTGGCTGATTCATTTGTTCCTCCTTTAACTGCTTAGTCCTACTGGCAGGCACATAGCTGAAGACATATAAGCATGTTCGTGAATGGTCATTTGTAGAAGACATCTGTATGAAATGATTTTTGTAAATGTACAGCAGCATTTGAACTGAACATCATTTTTAAAATATATAAATATACTGTACTTACTACTCTGTTAACATTGACAGCAGACATCTCTGTGGGAAATGGTTCAACATGTGTGAACACTCTGCCAGGTGTCCAAATGCTATATGAACCTTGTGAATGTCCGCATGTCTAAAGAAGCTCCTCCATAAGTGCTGTGTGATCAGACACAAAACTGTGAAGGCTGTTCTAACAGTTGACTGAATGTAATTAGACCAGTAGATAGAGAACAGGCTGAGCCAGAGAAAACCAGAGTAGATAGGGAGCTCAAGATGTGCTGAGTACGTGCCATGGATAACAGGTTTTATATGGGCAGTTTGTTATTACTGCAGAGGTTTTATTACCATCATCAGGGATGGGATGCAAGTCTGCCCTTTTACACCCTCTTTAATCTCAGGCTGAATGTCTGCGATTACTCCCACTGAAATGACTCATTGCAATGACTCATTTTTTTTACTTAGATTTCTGACAAACCTCACCGTAACAATAAAATATAATATGACAAAATAAAACCCATGTATAATTGTAAAAACTACAGTTGCTTTCCCTAGGAGAGTGTGTAAGGCAAGGCACGTTTATTTGTATAACACATTTCAACAAGGTAATTCAAAGTGCTTCACATAAAACCATTAAAAGCATCAAAACATAAGGCAAAAGAAAAGGAGCTTTAAAAACAATTAAGAACATTCATTGAAACATTACAAACAGTCATTAAAACACTAAAAAGCAGTGTAAGAAATAAAATACAGTAGTAAAATGCAGAAATGCAGGAAATTGATTCATATCCTTGAATGTGGTTCAATTAAAGGCAGCAGCAAACAGAAAAGTCTTGTTGAGTGTCCGTTGATTGATACATGGCTCATAGCCCTCCTAGATGTCCCCAGTGCTGAATAAGCTGATTCTTTGTCTAATGGACTGTAAAGCTACACAATAATTTTAGACAGTTTATTTCAATGGAAGCAGTCTGCTGCTCTACTGGTTCTAGAAGGATCTTGGTTTTAGTACTGGTTTGAAAGGTGGCCGACAAGTGCAAAACTTTTCCACTGGGACAAGTTTGCATCGTTTCTGTATTTGCTGCATGTTTCCATTGTTGCGTTTTTTTATGATTCCCCTATGGAAATGGAAACATTCACTTTCACTTTGAGGTTGTCCTGAACTCTCACTCATCCACTATCATCTTTACCAGGACACCCCCGCATGTGCAATCACCACTGATCATTCATTTTAAAAACGTCTTTCTAACAGTTAATAATCACATCCAACAATACACATACAACAATCAGATGGAGGTTTTGGATCAGAAAGTACAATATTTAATCTAGTGGAGTAGTACTAGAAGTGTAAATGTACACACAATGGAAGTATTTGCGTAAAGAATACAACAAGTCCATTCAATTTGTGAGTACTTGCACTACCACCTGTGTGTCTTTGTGTCCCAGGCAGGCCAGAGAGATCGTTCTGAAGTATGAGGGCCGACTCACCAGAACCAGAGGCTACCAGACTGCAGGAGCTGATGTATGTATGTCATTCATACTCGCAGTATGTTTTTGATCCCATAGCATTAAATGCAGTTTGCAGAGAATTAAAACAGTTTGTAGTCCACTTGTAAAATGTTGCATAATGTTAACCTGCAAGGGTTCTTTGTGTGTGTAGAAACAAAAGAACCAAAGTTATTTATACCACCACTGATTGGTTAAAATAATAATACTAGCAAATCTGAGGATGACTCCAAATTGTTCTTTCAATGCTTCTGGTTTAGAATATGTATTGTATTCTCAAGGATCCTTTTGGTCAGGTTGTTCTCATACACAGTTCAGTAATGCACTATGTATATAACCCATGTAATCCATCTGATGTGATCCATGTAATCGTAAGGCAGGACCGATGACGTAGTATAAAGAAATGGAGGAGGTCTGGGTGGATGGATGGGTCTCATGACCCTGGAGAGCGCTCCTTGGGTCCCATGTGAAACCAGAAGTCAACTTTGACATTTGTCACCTAACCAAACCTAAACAAGTAGTTTTATTTCCTACACTCTTCGGGCTTGTGCAGGTGCAATGATCGCTCACGCTGCTGGACATTTGCAGGAAAAAGCACAGAAAATAACAAAATAACTTTTCTTAAGATATCCTATGAAGCGTTGTATGAGGATACATTCTTTTTGTAGATCCATGGAGCATGGTGGTTATAATCGTCAAGGGGTGACCAAGGCACCCACATCTCAAGCAGCCACAGAGAAAGATTGTTATAAGGACTTGTTTGTTTATTGACGATGTTGTGAAGGTGGATGAGAATCGAACAGATCTTGTCCTTAACACACACAAAATACAAAAAACATTGTAACAATGGGTCTGCAGGAATATGAAATTGAAAACAACAAAGGTGGCTCTGCTTTGGCTGACCTAACATACTCTTATATCCAGTTTGTCACTCAGTAAAATATGTGCTCGACACACAACTGCATTGATTTTGTCTGACTGTATGCTGAGAGGAGCTTCTTTCTGCTATTTTACTGCACTGCAGTAACTAGATGATTATAAAACATGCTGGATTTCCATTGTGCAGGCTGCCTCCTGTGAGCTGAACATACACATACTGTGGATAACTTTATATACTGTGTCTGTCTCTGTATTTCACACACTCATATCCAGAGAGGAAAAGGAGAGCTTTGCAGCTGTAGCACAGCAGCATGAGTGAATTTATAGCCCGTTGTAAAAGCTCTGTTTAATTAAAATGTTCAGGCCCCATTAAAATAAATTGAGTTTTAGTGAGCAGTCTGATGATGACTTATATATTTTACAGTTTGGCTTCCAGATAATGAAAATGAGAATTATTGGTCCAGCTAATAATTATCATCTCAGTTCTGATTTTACTTTTCATCACATGAGGTGAAGAGCTTCACAGAGTCAATTCTTATGTGGACAACATGGATACATATGTGCAACAAAATGACATCCTAAATAATGCTGACTATGTGAGAATGTGTGAACACTTGTCATTGATCTGAGACAGCTGTTACACCAAAGACTGTCCTCTCCAGAAACAGAAAACAGCTGGTTTTACTGCTCAAACACCTGGAACACCTATGATTGACATTTACTTGCCAAATGTTATGCTTCAGAAGCAAAGGCAGAAGTAGTTCATTATTACACCTCTTCAAAACCTCTGTTTCAAGCCAAAAGTTATTGCTAGATTATTTTATCCATGACCAGGGCATTTTGCTTAACCCCAACCACAGAGGTGAGAGGTCACAAAACACTTTGATCGATACACGTCTGAAAACAAATGCCAGATTAAGAGATCCGGCTACAATGATCCATAACAACAGATCTGACGATTTGTCATGAAAAACACAACAGTTAGAAGACCAAAAAAACGTTTTGTTTAGGATCGTCTAATGCATCTCAGAACTCAGAAGATAGTTGCACAAGATCAGAAAATGTTAATGTATTTAGATAGGCAAGACAAATCATGTATTTTGTCATTAAGTTTGGAGGATTTGTTGTAAATATATTAGCATAGCTTTTATCATTGCTGCATGCTCATATTACTATTAGATATGATTCACATAATAGATATGATTTATGTCCTGCTCAATTATGCATTCGTATTCTGTTTTAGTTTGCATCTCTGTGTTAGTCCACAGCTTATCTCACATTCTGCTGAACCAAACTACATAAGATATGACTGCTGTGACCCGGCCCTCTGCCGGTAGGGCCCGCTGGTGTAACGTAGCTGAGTGCATCACCGCTGCTCAGCCGACACAGTTATCGTGCACCTTTTAAGACAGCGCATCTATTGTGTGACACCTGCGAGTGAAAAACACGCCTGATGACCTTGTCTCGTAGTGGGGCGGGGGCGCCAATTGTAGGTTGATTTAATTCATCGTATTTCATTGCAGACACACCTGCCGGAGATCTGCACCTGTCTAGTTTTCCATGTAAAAAAACCTCTCTATTAATACAAAGTATTATCATATTATTATAAAGGGTTTTCTATCATCTAAAATGATCAGGTATGGACAGCAAAAGAGTTTATCTCGAATCCTTGCTAGATGGTCAAATCATTTTACAGTCACCACTGCCCATTGTGGAGGTGAGTGTTACTCAGAGGTCTCAAATCTGGTTTCTCCTCCTGCAGCTGCTGAAGAAACTTTCACGTGTACTTTACAACATCGTGGTTCTGTTCATTCCCTGGGAAGTGAGGATCAAGAAAATTGAAAGTGAGTCATCTGTTTTTTCCTCAGAATGAATAACAGTAATGCTATCTTTTCTTTTGTTTTATTTCCAAGGATGTAATGACAGTTGACAGAACATTTTAGTACTTGACTCACCTAGACCTAAATTCCTTTTTTTCAGGACAGTCTTCTCTCAGTATGGTCATACTTTCTGGTGTTAGTCCTTTTCAGGGCACAGAAACATAAAGTAGAGTGTGTGACTGTGCAACAAGTCAACATGTCTCAGTCAGATGTTTCCTGTGTCTTGTTGAGGTCACTTTGGGTCGGGCGTGGCCTCCTACTTTATCTTCCTCCGCTGGTTGTTTGGGATCAACATCGTCCTCACCATCATGACTGGAGCCTTCATCGTCTTACCAGAGGTCAGCAAGGCTCTTTCACTTTACAAGTTTCATATATTGCACAATACTCCATATCATATATGAGTCATAGGCTTAAAGCTATACTGTGCGGAATTTTCATAAAAAGCAATGTATGGACTTATACAAAAACAGCCTCTGATGACTCATTGGAAGTGTGTGTAGGCCAAGGATGTTGCTCTGCTGATGGATACTCCACCCACCGATTCTAAATAAGAAGAATAGATATAAATGACATGGGTTGATAATTCAAATGTATCGGTAACACTTTATAATAACTACACGCTATAAAGCATTAGTTAAGTATGAGTAAACACTTAATTCATCATTTATAAAGCATTGTTCCTACATTAATAATTCATTAGTATGCAGTTCATAACAACAGTTAGAAATGTTTTATTGTTGATTAATAAGCTCATCTATTATGTGTTTCATGATTGTGTTTTCATACTTTATAAATGATGGAGTCCCCATTTGTAAATGGAGTATTATATATATTACGAACCAATTATTATGGAGTTGTAGATGATTAATAAGATCATTTACAAAGTGTAAGTAAATGATTAAGAACTTATTTAGATGTACATTATTCATGCATTTATATATATATAATAATTTAGAAATGCACTAATGGTTTGGGACTATGTTAATATATGCTTTATTAATACTGCAATTGATGATTAATTCAGGTAGTTAGTCGTTAGTAAAGTATTTTGTGTGACCTCATCCAAAGTGAGGCTGGTGATTCTCCAGCAGCTACAGCTCAACCAGTTAAACTACCAAACTGTGGTCAAGATCTAATGACAGGAACAAAATGCTGCTGATTTATGTTTGTCACTGACATCCAGACACAAGCAATTTCCCCACACATTACTCATCCTATCATTCCCAATGCCCGTTTATTTCATCTGCCTCTCCTTGTTGGAGCTAAGCTACCACTGTCTGCTCTGACACATCCATCCTTTGTCTCACCTCTGCTTAGTGAGTCATATCGTCCAACATCACACATCATGGATGTTCTGTCACATTGATGTGTGTGCTTGTTTCCTGCTGTAAATGATGTGTCCACGGATGGACTGGAGAGTTATTATTAGGGCCCGAGCACCGACATAGTCGGAGTGGAGGACCTATTGTTTTTCGATTGTTTATTATTATTATTATTATTATTATTCTTCTCATTCTTAGTGTTTCGTCACAAAAAGGAGGTGCTTGGGATACTGGGAAAATGTCGAAATTTGGCACGCAAGCCAGAATTTGCGAAAATTGCAGTCTGATTGCGGTGTCCAACTGCGGTATGAAATATTGGCTCGATAGTGCCCCCTATTGAGTAGCCCCAACATTGGGTTTCACCTAGCTGTATGAAATTTGGTAGGTATGTGGAACGTGATGAGACGCACAAAAAATCCTCTTGGAGTTTTTCATTAAACCAAACAGGAAGTCAGCCATTTTGACTTTTATGACTTTTTTGACCATTTCAAGGCGTCATACTTTAACGAACTCCTCCCAGAGATTTGACCCGATTGACTTCAGATTCGGTCAGTATGCTCTTGAGACCTTGGCAGTGAAAAGTTACTCAAAGATCAAAAAGTTATTGAACTATGTGTCCGTGGCGTGGCGTCAAAAAAACACCATTCGCCGCAAAACAGGAAGTTGTTGTAACTCGGCCGTACATTGTCGAATCTGCTCCAGATCTCTCATATGTCATAACATCCTGACCCGGAACACATCTATGTAATAATTTAGAATCATAGTAATAGCGCCACCTAGTGGCAACTGGAAGTTGTGTACTTTGACATCCTGCTCCTCACAGATTAATCAGATCCCTCTAAAATGTTGTCAGAACAGCCTTAAGACCTTGATAATGCTTCATTGTGAAAATTGTAAGAAGTTGTTGAAGGGCGGCGACGTGGCGGCTCGGCAAATTTCGATCCTTCGCCATGAACGAATAAACTGATGTAACTCAACTCCACATCATCAGATCTTTACCAGATTGCACATGTTTGATTAGACTCCCAGCCTGAAGACATCTGCAGGCCAATTTTGAATCATAGTCATAGCGCCACCTACTGGTAACAGGAAGTTAAAGTCATTATACTTTGGCTTGTTTCTCTCAGTAGGTAAATCAAATCAACATCAAATTACTTCCACACAAATGTAAGAAGTTCATAATACCAGTTCATGAAGCTTTTGAAGCGTTTCTTCGCCATTAACAACGAAGGTCATTTTGAGAGGCTAAAAATGCTCGAAACATAAGCAAACTTGGCAAGCAGATTACAAGCCCAAAATTTAGTTATGGAATATGATTTTATTGGTTCAGAGTGGCAAATCGGCTCAATAGCGCCCCCTACAAAATGTTGACGAAGCAGCCCTCGCAGTATGTTTGACCTAGATGTATGAAATTTGGTAGGAACATGTATCACATATGGACTTAAATAAAAGTCTCTTGGGACCATGCTCTAAACCCAACCGGAAGTCAGCCATTTTGAATTTTTTATGAATTTCTAGTGTCATTTTTGTCATTTCCAGGCACTGCACTTTAACGACCTCCTCCTAGGGAATTAATCAGATCAACTTCAAATTTGGTCGGTACAGTCTAAAGACCTTTGTGATGAAAAGTTACTCAAAGCTTGTTGTTTCGTGAAAAGCTGTTGCCGTGGCGACGCATTCTTCACCATGAAAAATTAAGGTGTTTTTGAGAGACATGCTCGAAACATAAGCAAACTTGGCATACACATTTAAAGCCCAAAATGTAGTTATATAATATGATTTTATTGGTTCAGAGTGGCAAATCGGCTCAATAGCGCCCCCTACAAAATTTCAACGAAGCAGCCCTCGCTGTACGTTTCACATAGATTTACAAAATTTGATCTCTAAATATAGCGTTCATTTAAACTGATATTGAGTCTAAAATACGTCCACAGCAGAAGATTACTTTATGCTGGTACTCCTGTCTGTTTCTATTGTAGTAATACACTCAGTACATAGAAGTACTTCATACAACCACACTTAAAATCAATCCAAATTATCTCTTCAAGAAACAAGTGTGAAAAACAAAAACGTAGCAACAAGACAGGCACATGTATCACACGTGGACTTAAAATAAAGTCTCTTGGGACCATGCTCTAAACCCAACGGGAAGTCAGCCATTTTGAATTTTGTATGAATTTCTTGTGTTTTTTTTCCATTTCCAGGTGCTGTACTACGAACTCCTGCTAGGGAATTAATCCGATCAGCTTAGAATTTGGTCAGAACAATCTAAAGACCTTAGCGATTAAAAGTTACTAAAAGCTTTAAGTTTCATTGAACGACGTGGATATGGTGTGACGGCCATTTTACACGGTTCACCATCATCCATCAAGCTGTTGTAACTCGACTGTACTTTGTCAAAACTGTCCCAAACTTGACATGCTTGTTGACTGTCATGGCTTTAGGACTTCTGCATGCCAATATTAACTCATAATCATAGCGCCACCTACTGATAAGCACGGACATAAGCAGGATTCTATAATTACAGCGGCCCAAACACTGAACTTATTGAAAGGGTTTGTGGGCACACCATGAGAAAAAGACTTCTCTGATCTAAATATGTGCAAACTATGATGCTTGGAGAGCAAAAGTTAGATAACAGTGGATTCTCAAACCATGTCCGTGGGCATTAGTTTAAATGATCTGTCCAGAGCTTCTTCATGACAATCAGGTAAAATGTTACAATGAATGCTTCACACAACAATCTAAAGTTACAGAAGAACTTAAAATGAAAACAGTGTTAAATTAAAGTGTTCAAGTAACAGCAAATGGCACTACCGTTTTGTTAACTTTCATGTAAGTCCAAATACAATCAGCAGGACACTGCAGAGAGTTGAACCCCATCCCAGTAAACTGACTGTCTGTTATGTTACAAACACTGAAGCACATTCACACACATTTATTTTCTTAATGATCTTAACAGGCTTACATTTATGATTGTATTGGATGTACACTCAAAACATCTGAGGCTTAAGACCTGGCAACATGATCTTGCTACACTGCTGGTCTACGCAGGAAATATCATCTCACTCGTGCACGCAGAGTGTGATGGTCACAGAAATGCATGGCTGCGTCACCCGGAGTCCTGCCAGTACCAAGAAATACCGTTTAACTCGTGCACGCAGTGTATGATGGTCACAGAAATGCATAGCCAGAGTCCTGCTAGTACCCTCAACGTGCGTGAAGTTGCGAGGGCCCAATCAATGCTGCTTGCAGCTTTAATTATATCAGTTATTACTCACTTTTATTTCTGAAGTTTGCCTCTTTCTAAGTGTAACACTAAAGACACACTACGCTCTTTCATTTTGCTGAAGCACACAGGACTTTTCTAGTCAGAGGTTCTAGTATGTCAGAGGTGTCACTAAGTTCTTTTCAGGATGCATATGTGTCTATATGCAAGTTCTCGCTCCAGAAATGGACAGACCCAGATCCGGCTTCTCTCCAAGACTGAGATGAGAAAATTAATATCAATGTCATGTCGGTGTGTTAAATACAGAGCTGGAGTAGCTGCACTACACATTGTTGGTTGAATCAGAAATGTAAAAACAACAGGTCATGGTCTTTGGATGAGTTACGTGTTTCGGCTGTTATTAATAAATGACAGTTTATCCTTCAGCAGTTCTGTGTAGCATACACAGTTGCTACACAGACACAGTCAGTTAGTTTTTTAGAAGTGTTGGTAGGGCAGAGCCAAGATAGCTGTTTCCCCCTGCCTCCAGTTTTTATGCTAAGCTAAGTTAACCATGTCCTGACTCCATGTCCTGATGAGAGGATATCAATCCTCTCATCTCAGTCTCAGAAAAAAGGAAGGTGTTGAATGATTCCTTTCAACTTGCATGTAGCTACTGACCTAACAATTGTCATCACAATGAACTGCAAATATATTTTGCTCCACTCTTGCCAGCTTATAACCAAATGTTTTACAAGGTGAAAAGTTTAAATCAACTAACTACAATAAGACATGAGCGTGTTATCACTGTACATACAGTATTTAAATGTCTGTATTAATATCATATTGTATTGGTCTGTGGTTGTTTGTACTAGCTGCTGGCTGGAGCTCCTTTTGGAACAACGAGGAGTAAAACTATACCCAAGGAGCATCTGGCTTCAGCCCAGGACCTGGACACCATCTGGTCTCTTGGGGTAAGCCTCTCTTTCCTTTTACTGTTCTGTCAATAGCACATTACAGATACAATAGACCATTGTTCAAACATTACTTTACTGCCTCCCTGACCTCTACTCCAAGGCCACCCCACCTTTTATGTTAGTAGACTGAGCTTGTAAAGACCTGTTAGCATTATTATATACATTTTATTTGAAGGCAACAATGACTCAAGGTTCCCTGTGCATTAAGCTGTTGTGATCAGTCACCTTTTTTGAAAGTTTCCTACCAGGGCAAGTATGTCTCAGTGTATCACTCCCTCCAGGAAATACACGACACCTTAGTTCATCTCAGTCAACACCACCGTCATCAATCCACCGTCGAACTGTTCAAATACATTTCAACATACAAAATAAGCTGGCGTTAACGTTACACAAAAAAACTGTTTGCACGTCAAACAGTTAACATAAATAACATACCTCGCTGGGTGCACACAACCACGAGGGAAATGAGTCCACTTGAAAAACATGAATTTTCAAAAACAAACAATTTAACACTTAAACTTAAATCTTTGAGCGGAGTATATCAACTTCTAATAATAAATAACAAATAATAATATGTAAACAAGCATATTAAATAATGACATAAATAATATTTATGGCTGTTAAACTCCCACCAAATCACAATTTTTTGGGATTTTGCCTCACAAAAATAGCCATGACAATTATTCTGCTTCAAGCTGTAAAACTGTGTTTTGTACAGGCCTTTCAAGATAGACTGGCTTAGTGGTGCGTTTTCCCTGGTTATCTAAGGTTGAGTCACTCATTAACAGTTTTACCTTTCTGACTCTTCCATCACTGCTAGGGTTCACCTGTGATACTCTTGCTAATCTCAATTGATTTTGTGGAGAGCCGTCCTCGTGTAGGATAACAATGTCATTAACCTTCGTATTTGTTTTATCCGTTAGCCATATTTGTCTTTTGCTGAAGATTAAGGAGGTACTCCTTCTTCCACCTTGTTAAGAATTAATTTGCCAAGAACTGCACCTGGTGCCATCTCTTGCGTAGGTAGAGAGCCTGACTAACAAATTGACCAGGAGGGGGAGATATTATGTTAGACTTCATCATGAGGATATGGTTGGACTTGTTGGATCATTTAAGTGCTCTGTTGTCAGTGGTCTGATATTTACAGTAGCCACTTCATACAGAAAGGTTCTAAGTGATGCACTGTCAAGTTTTTTAGCAGATTGATCAAGGATTGCTGTTGGAACACTTCTGATTATCCTAATTTGTCTCTCCTATACACCTCCCGTGTGACTTGATGATTGGAAGTTCATTGCAAACTCACATCCATGTTCCTTTAACTGTTCATGATCCAGGTCCTTCATTGCATTCATGAACTCTCCCTTTGCGCCAACAAAGTTGGTACCTTGATCACATCTCAACTGTCTTACATTTCCACGTATTGCGATGAATGCACGCAATGCATTTATGAATGCATCCGTAGTGAGATCATTAAGCATTTCACTATGTATGGCTCTAGAACACATACAGGTGAAAAGAAGACCATACCTTTTCAGTTCCTTTCTAGCTTCTTTCATGTAGAACGGTCCGAAGCAATCTATGCCACCATATGTGAATGTGAATATGTGAATCTGCCATCTTCGGACCCTGTTTGTTCCTTCTATACTTTCTGCATGTTGTGCACTTGTACATGTGTGAGGCTACTGCGCTGTTGCATCCTGTAACCCATATTTCATTGGATCGCAATTAATTTACAGTTATTCCTCTCCCTTGATGATGCACCTTTTTATGGTAGTGCTTGATGAGTAAAGAAGACACATGACTTGCCTTTGGTACGATGGCATGATGCTTGACATGTGGGTGAAGGCTAGATCTTGTCAAACGTCCTCCAACCTTGAGCACACTATTAATCTACAAAGAGACTTAGTTTGTGTAGCTTGTTTGTTTTGTCTTCAGGTTTTCCTTACTTGCATTGATTTATACTTTTGATTTCATTGCTGAATGCTTCCGTTTAAGCTCTGGTTCCAGTCTTTCCTCAACACTTGTGGCTTCAGTTGTTTTAGGTTTGAGACCCTTGATTTGCTTAGCATTAGCATAAGCTGTGCTTTTCAACTAATGTTGACTACTTTTTTACCTGTGTTGGACTATGGTGATCTTCTTTATATGCATGCCTCTGCTAACTGTCTTCGTATGGTGGCTACAGCTTACCATGCTTCACTGCGGTTCATTACCAATTGTAAAGCTCTGACTCACCACTGTGAGTTATACTCTCGGGTAGGATGACCTGCTTTGGCCACCCGTAGGCTCTGTCATTGCTACACCTTCATTTATAAGGAAATCGTTGGTGTGCTCCCAAGCTACCTGTGTGTCTTCATCATGCAGGAAAGTGTCGGACAATACTCCTTGCGTTCTCAGGACTTCTTTATGCTCGCTGTCCCAAATGCCAGAACGGAAATGGGAAAAAGGGCTTTTGTGTACTCTGCACCCTCATCATGGAATATGTTGCAGAATGATTTAAAACTCAAAGAACTGATACCACTTACTGTTTTTAAATCTAAAATGAAAGAAATAGAGCCAGGTTCACAAAAATGTCAATGTTTTCTGTCTGTAACTATGTGTTTCTTATGTTGCTGCCTGTCTTGGCCAGGTCTCCCTTGAAAAAGAGATTTTTAATCTCAATGGGACTCACTTGGTTAAATAAAAGTTTAAATAAAAAAATAAATAAATGGTGCTTGAGACGAGCAATACCTTTGACAGCTCTTTTCCAGTCAGAAAACCTTGGCAGGTAGCAATGTCCAGTCCTCTTTTGCTTTGGTGTTGAGCACCTGGGCCTTTCGAAGTTCTGGATCGTTGTCAATAACCTCACTCACCTTGACGTCTTCTATGGGCAGCTCTTTTTTCCACAGAAAATCTGGCCCATTAAACCAAGTTGAAGCGACAAGCTGATCTGCCTTTAGGCCTCTTGAAACTTGATCTGCAGGATTATCTTCGGAATGTACAAATCGCCATTGTTGTGGATCTGTAGTGGACTTGATTCTTTGGATTCTGTTCACCACAAACACGTGGAAACGTCTTGCGTCATTGTTTATAAACCCAAGAACGACCTTCGAGTCTGTCCAAAAATATTGTTGAAGACCATCTATTTCAAGCTCATTTCTGAGCATAACACTTGTCCTTACTGCTACTACTGCAGATAACAAGTCGTGGTACTGTGGTCACCTTTGCGGGGGCAACACGTGCCTTACCCATGACCAACGAACAATGGACATCTCTATTAGTGTTGATTGCTCTGAGAAAAGTACACTCCCCATAGCCTGTGATGCTGGCGTCTGAGAAGTGGTGAAGCTCATACTGTTTGACATTCATGAAGTTTGCTGGAATATAGCACCTTCTGATCCTTACGTTAGACATGTTTTGAAGATCTTGTAGCCATGATTCCCACTGTGTCCTGAGCTCTTCTGGGAGTGGCTCATCCCAACCGACCTTGTCTTGAGACAGTTGTTGCAATATCTGCTTTCCCAGCATAATGAAAGTGGCTACGAACCCAGATGGAAGCTACTGTAGATAGCACTCCTCTTTTTGTCAGCAGGTGTTCCTTGACTGTAACTCTGAACTGAAAGTCATCAGAGGACACACACCATTGAATGCCGAGAGCTCTTTCCATGAGCGGCTCTCCCAAAGCCATATCAAGGTCTTTGACACTTTCAGCACACTCTTCCTTTGGTATTGATTTCAATACATTCTTGCTGTTGGAAATTAACTTATGTAGTCTTAGCTTGCCTGTGCTGCAAAGCCCTCTTGCTTCCTTGACAAGATGGATTGCCTCAGCATCAGACGTTACACGTCCATCGTCAACATGAAAATTCCTTTGGATGAATTTAACAGTGTTTTGGTTAAATTGATCCTGACCTTCAGCGGCTAGATGTTTAAGAACAAAATTGGCACAGCCGGTTGAGGAGGCAGCCGCAAACAGATGGACTTTCATCCGGAAAATGAATGGTGGAGATGCTAGGTCACCATTCTCCCACCATAAGAACCTCAGGTAGTCTTGGTCTTCAGGCCTTACATCAAACTGATGGAACATTCGCGCCACATCACATATAATAGCAATCAGGCCCTTGCGAAACTTACAAAGACCTCCCACCAAGGTGTTTGTGAGCTCTGGCCCAGTAAGAAGGTGGTCATTCAATGATGTGTCTTGGAACCTTGCTGAACAATCGAAGACGACACATACTGTATCTTACCAGACTGGCTGATTGTTGAGTTCTTCTTCTGGAACCCACTCTGCATCACCACGAGCAATGATATATTTCATGAAGTTCACATAGTCTGAGCAGTATTTCTGGTCTCTCTTGAGCTTCCGTTCCAAGCACATTAAACGCTGAACAGCACATGACTTATTATTGGGTAGATTTGGTCTGTCTTGTTTGAAAGGTTAGGGCATTTCCTAATTACCATCTTGTCTGTGTTTGATTCCATCTCTCAGCTTAGCCAAGAAGTGGCGATATTCCTGAGAGACAGTTGCCTCTTCTTCAACTATTTCACTGAAATCAGATGCTAGCACCTTAATTACATAATCTGGACACATCATTTCTTTGATCCGAGTCTTGCAAACATAGTGAACTTAACTTTTGAGCTTGACTGTTGGTTTGGGTTCAGGCGTCACTTGCCTTACAACGATGCAGTGACTTACTCCATAAGCATCGCTGTAGTGCTCTCGTGGGTCACCATAACTCACTATGCTCCAACCTAGTTGTTTTCTGAGCAAAAGGTTGGTTTTCTTCCCCACATACGACTTCTCTAGGCATTAGCGTTTGTGGGCAATTGTACCCGATCAATAGACCAATTTCACATTCTTTTGGTGGCGCAATGTGTTCTGCAAGATCCTCCAAATGAGGCCATGCCATAGCGGTCTCTGGAGTTGGGATATGTGTCCAATTAGCAGGGATGAATTCACAAGTGTAAGTTGTTGGCATGTGATCTTCTTAGAGGAGAATAGCCCTCTTATTTCTAGGCCTTTGAGTCTTTTACAGGGTACAACTGTCCTTTTTGACGACATTGTAGATAGTTTCAGCTTCACTTGTTCTGTGTTCGTATCTAGAATATTTGCCACTTCCTCAAGAATGAATAAAGAGTCACTTTGGGAATCGAGCAGTGCATAGACAAGAACTTCCTTGCTTGAATCATTTTGTGTTGACCATAGACAGGTACTATCGCTGAAGTCTGTGTAATATTGCCATCTTGCACAACTCTGTTAGATGTGGTTTCCTTGATAACTTGTTGTAGTTGTGTTGACTGTGGATTTCTTTCCTTGCTATAACTTATTTCCTTACAATGTTCTCTCCTTGGTTTTTGTTCTTGTTTTGAGCGATCGTGTAGCCATGTAGGATGACGTTTTGAACAGGTGTCACAGACCATCCGGCTACTGCAGCTCTTGGATTGATGGCCAGGACTCAAACATCCGAAGCATAGTCTCTCACTCTGAATGACTGGCCTTTCAATAAGTTTGCAGCAACTGTGTCCTAATTTCTTACAAAACACACATGTGACTGTTTCTTTCACTGGTGTTGGTCATGTAGATCTTGGCGCCTACAGTTTTGTTCTTGAAGGCCACTATGGTTTGGTTCTTGATCTTTGCTTTATCAGGTTCACTCTGTCATAATGCATGGTAAGATGTTATAGGGTTGCACGCAATACTAGCTTCCATTGTCAGGAATGTCACAAAATAGTTAAAGCTGTTGAACCTTCTGTGTTCCATCTGGTACTTAACCAGTCGGATAGTTTGGCTTTGGTCATTAAGAACATTTAGACTCTCGTTGTGAGCAATAGCGGATTCACAACTGCGTAAAAAGTCCACACATTTTTTTAACTCAGCCCTCTCCCTCGAGGCTATTATTGGCCAAGCATGTAATTTGTCTCAGAAGGCTTTGGCAATTACATAAAGCTTGCCATATCGTTCATTGAGCAGGTCCCATGCTGAGTGTTATGAATCTTCTGAATCAATCAGAAAATGACCTTCTAAGGCCTCTGTAGCTGCTCCTCCCACATATTTCTGAAGGAAGAAGATTTTCTCTGCAGTTGGAATATTTTTCATCTCAATTAGTGTCTGAAAGGACGACTTCCAATTATTAAATTTGAGTGGATCCCCACTAAAGATTGTAGGCTCTGGAATGGGCAGCTTATTTGCTGATATAGCCTCAGCCAGAACTTTCACAAGCTCTCCCATGTTGTTTTGAAGCACACCTCATGGAGCCACATGTCTTAGTGATTGTGGGTGGTGATACACAGGGTTCACCTGATTACTTGCTTGCTCAAGCGTAGACAGCTCAGAGTTATGTGGTATAAGCCTTTGATCTGGATATAACTAATTTTCATCATAGACTTGAAGCCTTGCTCTGGCTGCATTGTCTTTGTAGCTCCTCCAAACGCTCAAGCCCACTTTTCAAGTCCTCTACAGACTTTTTTCTCGCAGCATTCTCTTCTTGCTGTTTCTTAAAGAGAGCAGCTTCTTGTCGCTCCTTTTCTATCCTACGTTCAGTCTCTTACCTTTCTCCTTGAAGACAGCGAGTTATTGCAGCTGCTTCTTGGTCTGCAACTATCAGCTTGTTCTCAACTTCAAGTCTTTGCAGCTTCTCTTGGTGGCACTCTTGCTCAGCCATAATCTTCATCACAGTTTTGGTGGCTGCATACTCGGCAGCAGCTTCTGTCTTTTAACTGAGGATACATTAGAGCGAATGGAAATAGCCTTAGAACACTTGGAGTCTGGAGATGAAACACTGGAAATCGTAGATGTAAATACAGAGCTTGCATCCGGCCAAATCAGTCCCTCCTCTGTTCCTTGAATTTGAGACTGAGCATTGTGTACAACAATCTTGGTGACTGATATGCATTTGTCCAGCTTGCTGTCAATCCTTCAATATTCATCATAAACATTATTCAGTTCAGATAATTTCCTTTGAATAGTACTGATGTGTTCTTGGAGGATGTTACTGGAATCCTGTTTTGTTACAGATTTTTTAGCCACCTTAGTTATTGCTTTCCAGCGTTCGTAAATACTGTCAAAGCGAAGCAGTAGCTCTTTTGTTTTTTCTTTCTGAAATTCTCTTCCTTTTTCTGTTAATATGCGGCCTCTTTCACTTCGTTGAGGCTCTTCAGTATACTCCTTGTTGTACAACACTAGACTCATCCATCTGCTCTGTCTCTGCCACTTGTTCTATGAGTGTGCATACACACTGACTCTCTTTACTTGTTTGTGACATTTCAAATTATTTGAAAGTGAGCTGTACAGAATCAAGTTGTCTCAAATAAGTAGTGCAGTTCACAACAAACATTTTACAGAAATACTCAAGAGAATATGATATATTAAATTAGGTCTGGAAAAGATTAGTCACTTACAGTTGACAAAATATTAAACCATTAATACAAAACCTCCCTCCAAATGCCAGCTTTCTTAAAACACACACAAAAATCTTCTTTTCTTAAGTAAATCAATAGTGCCATGTATAAACATACCTCTTTATTGTGCATTCAATACTAAGCTATTCAAATAATACACAGGTTCATATATTCTTTTTTTTATTTTAAACATGTGCAAGGCACAGTGAGTAGGGAGGCCGTGCCACTGCCATTTATAAACACACCTTGTCAGCTGATACCAATGCCAATATCAACATTGTCTGTCAATTGCATGATAATCATGCATACAAGCTATTCAAATTGATGTTTTCATTTTAAACATAAATGTGGAAACGAAAAATGAGTGATGGCCTATTAGTGCCACTGCCATGCATAAACATACCTGTTATCTTGCATACAATACTGAACTATTAAAATAATGGACAGATTCATGTTTAGAGAAAAAAGAAACCCTGTTGAAGACCTCTGCTCTAGATGTAGTTGTATAATGTAGCTGTAGATGTGCTGTACTTTCTTGTTGTTTTCTTGTCAACATGTGTTGTGTGTGTGTTTGATCTCCACAGGGCTACCTGCAGTACTCTGTGTTATTCTATGGTTACTATGGCAGGCTGAGGAAAATTGGCAGTGCAGGGTACCGGTTGCCCCTCGCCTACTTCCTGGTTGGGATGGCTGTCTTTGCCTACAGTTTCATCATCCTTTTAAGAAAGTAATCATTAAGCTCTTTACAACTCATACTGACATGATAATGATTTGATCATAGAAATGGCCTGGTCACAGCAGCATTTAAAACTGCAAAGTTAAGGAGCAAATGTAATTCATCTTTAATGGAGCTGCAATCAGCAGATCAGCTCACAAGGGGGAATTAAGTAAACAAAAATCTCGGTCAGAGTTCAATTTGAGGGAACTTTGTCATGCAAATGTGTGCTGTTGACCAAGTGCAAGCCATCTAGACAGTGCAGACATTTGAGGAGACGGAGAGTCTGAAACAGAGGAAGCTGTTAAAGCTCTTGAGACTATCTAGAACTAGCATGTTCCCAACTGGCTCTGTGTTTTGTTTAGGCAACACAACTACTTGGTTAGGAAAAAGTTGTGGTTTGTGTTGAAATAAGCTCATTTGCAGCAGTCTCATGGGTGAAAGTTCTTTGTTTGTTTGACCTGTTTATCCCTGGAGCTTTCTTCCTATCTTTATTTAAGAATGTTTTTTTTCACGTTCAGATTTTTTAATCAGAATCAGAACCAATGCATTCCCTTAAAACCCTGTACTAACACTCAAATAGCATCTGCTTCAGTTTGGCAATTTCGGCGTCGCCATCATGGATTACGGCCAATGCCATGTTGTTTTTCTTGCAACCAATGTTCGGAAGTTACCATATTTGGAATGCGGGGGAGAGACTTTTGGCGGCAGCGACCTGTCAATCACACAGTAAGTCACCCTAAAGCATTCTCCGCTTTATGGTCTATTTTTTACCCTAAAATGGACCATAATTTACTAAATGAACATCATGCTGTATTGAAGAAGACTTGCGATTGAGACCATAAACCCAATTTTACAATGTTTACTCAGGGAATAAATCAAGTGAGGAGGACTTCTTTTTGCAACCAGAGAAGTCGCCTCCTACTGGTCAGTAGAGAGAATGCAAGTTTTAAGACACTTCTGCATTGGCTTCACTCGGCAGAACCGGAGGCTGCCGTCTGACAACAACCCTGTCAATATTCCCCAACCAATAGAATGCCATTGCAGGTGTAGTGTTGACCAATTAAACGATACCTGCCTCATTGTGGGTGAGTTTGCTTTACTAGAGTGTCCCTGACGGGCGGTTACTCTTTGACCTGGTTTATCCACTTCAAGGCTTTATTTTATTGCTCTCTTTACCACTTTTGGAATAAAATTACAGTTATATATAAAACAGCGAGTCGCCAGTACTTTTTTCTTTAACTATAACAGCTACATCGGCGTCCTGTGCTAGAGAGGAACAAATAGTGGTGTCGGCATAGTTAGAGTTACTGTCAAAGGTAGCCGCCGCATATGCTAGTGAGCATCTTTTCATGCCTGTGGGGAGAAGAACCAGTCCAACATGTATGAGTACTGAACCAACGGGCAAAGGAACTCAAAACCAGACTCAGGAGACATGTCGGTTGAATGTACGACCTGGATCTCTTTCTCTCCAATAATATCTTATCGATCTTGATGGCTACAGAGATTAGGGAATCCAAGTCAGCTGGTAATTCAAGGGTAGCTACTGGTCCTTTGAAGAGTGAGACAAACCATGGAGAAAGTTGTCAAACCGGGCAAAAGAGTTCCAGTCCCTCTCAGCTGCAATGTTGCGGAACTCGATTGCGTAGTCAAAGACTCTCCTCTTCCCCTGATGCAGACCCATGAGTGCCCTGGCTGCCTCTCGTCCCGGTGCAGTATCCTGGAAGAACCTGGTAAGTCCCTCTTCCTGCTGATGAATACGCCTTCTTTGAGCCTGCAGCACGGCTCACACAGAATCCGAGTCCACTGAGTCCATGTTGGCCAGTTGATACATCCATGCTGAACCAATGGGGAAAAGGACTCAAAAGCTAACTCAGGAGACAGATCAGTAGTAAGTAAAAACACTTTATTGAAGCAGGAGATCAGTCAGGATAAGGTGAAAGTACAAAATCGATAGGCTGAGGCAAAGAGGTCCAAAAATCCCAAAACAGGTCTAACACTAGAGACTAACACTGGGACAGAGAACAGAAAAGCTGGAACACTACCCACAAGGAGTCCAGACAAACTGGCACGGACAAAAGGGAGCAAACAGACTAAATACACAACAGAGGAAGGGTAATCAGGAGCAGGTTAGGCCAATCAATGCTGGGCAGGTAATCACACAGGCAAGAAAAATACAAGGGCAGGAAGTGAAGACTGAAGCGAGAGACAACCGGTAAGTGTCAAAATATAACAGGAAACATGCTGTTGTAGTTTATGACCTTAGCATTAGGCTTCTACAATAGTCAATAGCAATTCCACTGACAATAATGCTATATACCACGGCACCCAGGGCCCCGTTCCTCGTACCTGGCTAACTAAGTTAGCCGGATAATTTTCAGGATAAGATTACATAAATCAGGCTTTTCGGTTAAATGAAGCAAGTTTGGCAAAATCACCATAGCAACACATCCATAAACTTGAACCTGCTCCAGCGCAGGCTAACTTAAGTTAGCTGGATAAGCTTGCCACTCCCCCGGAAAAAAATGGCAGCTCCCTTCCTGAGAGATCCCATTGATGAAGGAGCGATATTAGTTAGATTAGCATTTTATAGGGAGAGAGTTCTTCGACATCGCCAAGATCCGTTATCACATCATGATGACTTCCTATACGAGCGCTATCAATTCTGCCGACAAGGAATCATTTAATTACAAGACATTCTCGAGCCATACATTGCGAACACCACACGCCACAGCCGAGCATTGACTGTCTCACAGACTGTATGCATAGCCTTGCGCTTTTTTGCGAGTGGTACATTTTTGTTCAGTGTCGGCGATGCGGAGAACATCGGGAAAGCCGCTGCATGCCGTGCTGTTCGTAAAGTTTATTTGCCGCTTAAGAAACTTATGGATGTGTTCATTACATTACCATGGCACATATTGTATTGACTCACCATTCTGAATAATGTTTTTGTGCTTAGTTTTTACTTGCTCCCATGTCCTCTTGATGGCTGGGTTGCAACTACATGGGGGTTGAAAGCACTCATAAGTATATGACAGTGTTATTAGTACACCATAGCATATCATTATTGTAGAAAATAATTAAGGTGGACTCATGATAAGAATAGAGAGAATCACACACAATTTCTTTTCACTGCTTCAATTGATTGAATTTCTGATTGTGAATAATACATACATACATACTGATCCGCCCACACACAGATTCGCACACACATATTCAAACTCCTAGTTCTATATGGTAATCTACACACAAGGAAAAATTAAGGCATTGGTCAGACACCCAAGCAACAATCAGACTATCATTTTATTTCAAAAGTTGTAAAGAAAGCAAGGGAAGTACCTACTGATGCCGTGGAGGGCCAGGTTAAAGAATAACCACCCATCAGGAACACCATAAGAAGAAAAGTGAACACATCCGCAATGAGGCAGGGATCATTTCATTGGTCAACACTAAACCTGGCATTCTATTGGTTTGGGGAAACAATCCAAGAGCATATGAGAAATCTGAGTGCAGATGTTTCACGAGCACGTAGAAGCAGCCTGAAGAGCTGAAGCTGGAACTGGAGAGCTTTACAAAATCTGAAGTGAAATCAACAAGTTATGCTCTCAAATTAAAAAAAACACAATCTTGAATGAAGATAGAAAAAAAGCTCAATATCCATCCACCCCAACCTCCTATACACAGACCTTGCCGCTCTTTATACCTCGTGACTTCCTTAGAAGCCACCCTGCATGCCCTAGCTCAAGATAACGTGGGTTATATACGGACTGTAGTGTATTCCTTTTTGCAGATGTAAGTACTAAGACTGAATGAGAAGGGCAATGTTCATTACACCCCACACTAAAAATGTAGTGGACAAGACTGACCAACATATCTAAGAATGATACATTCATAATATTATCATTTTTAGAGCTTTAACAATAATGGAAATAATGTCCATGTTGAAAAATAGCAAAGTAACCCTTCAAGAGTAGTTGGTTTGACCTGAGGGAGTCCCCATAAGAACGGGCATGTGAATTCAGGGAGGTATGATACATTTTGCGAAGGTCACAAATGTAAATATATCCTGAGGGTGGCGCCAGAGGAAAGGTTCACAAAATCATTTATTCTCTAGGAATCAAAAATATCCAAATATTTATGCAAATCTGGACAGAGTTTGTCGAGAATCTCACTGTGAACCAAAGTGGACTGGACGACTGACTGATCACCCGACTAGCATCAGCGTCCTAAAATTATAGCGTTGATAATGTATTGTATGGTTTGATAACATGATGTGGATAAACTCCTGCAGAATGGCCAAGAACTCTCGTCTGAGCCTGGCCAGTGCCTCCGATGAGAACTTCACGTTCTGCTGGAGAGTTTTCTGTGCCTGGGATTACCTGATAGGAAACCCAGAGGCCGCAGAGAGCAAAGGGGCTGCCATTGTCAACAACATCAGGGTCAGAGGCACACTTGAACGCACTGCACACTCACATTGTACATATCCAGTAACACGTACTGTTGCAACCCGGGGGACGTGGAGGCGAGATTCAGAGATAAAACAGGTGACTCAGAGACAGTAACCATGTAACAAAAAGTGTCCTTTAATAAACAGGGTGGGGTAAAGGGGGATAGGGTCAACCTCAACAAAAGATTCCTCCCGGTCGGGGTCTTTGGCCTTCGGTCTACACCCAGTGTGAGACGATTCCTCAGTCCTGTTTGGGCAGAGCAGAGGAGAGAGGTGAGTCCGCTGAATTACCTCTGGTCTGCTGAAGCTCCTCTCCAGAGGTGCAGGAGATCCTCGTATTCTTCTGCCCAGTCTGTCTGCCGCTGCTGCTGCTTCACAGCCCTGGGAACATGTGCTCATTCTAATTAGCTCATGGGCCGCAGGTGTGACCACTGCCACGTGCCTAGTGGCTTCAGGACCTGCACCGGATAGTATACTCCCTCTATCACCTCCCCCAACCTGAGCTTGGGGATCCACCTCCTGTGCTGTGTCTGCTTGGCTTTTCCCCCTGGTTTGCCACACACCCCCTCCTAGGTGGGGGCTAGGAGCGTGACCAACCAGCATTCCTCTCTCCTGGACAGGGCATCCGCATTTCCATTGGCTTTTCCAGGCCTGTGCTCAACAGAAAAATTAAAGCTTTGCAATTCCAAGAACCACCGTGTAACTCCTGCATTAGTGTCCTTGGCTGTTGACATCCATCTTAATGGTGCATGATCTGTTACCAGAGTAAATTTTCTGCCCAGGAGGTAATATCGTAGCTTGGTTAGCGCCCATTTAATTGCCAGACATTCCTTCTCTACAGTTGAATAGTTCCTTTCATGTTTTAGCAACTTACGGCTAATATAGGTCACTGGGTGTTCTTCCCCTCCCCTAACCTGGGACAGCACCGCTCCAACCCCTGATCCTGAGGCATCTGCATGGACGACGAACGTGTCCTCAAAGTTTGGTGTACTTAAGACCGGCTCGGTGCATAAGGCCTTCTGAAGGGTTGCAAATGCTTCCTCTGCTTCGGCGCTCCAGAGTACATGGTGTGGGTGGCTGTTTTTTGTCATCTCGTGTAAGGGGCCTGCAATAGTAGCAAAGTGAGGGATAAAACACTGATAATAGCCCACCAGTCCCAGGAATGTTTTTACTTGCCATTTCGTTGCTGGCTTAGGCCAGGTGGTGATGGCTTCAACTTTCCGGAGTTGGGGTCTTACACTGCATCTCCCAATAGTGTAGCCGAGGTACTCTGCCTCTTCTAGACCAAGGTGACAATTTTTGGGATTGTCAGTCAGGCCAGTTTGCCGTAGACTTCCCAAGACAGCTCTCAGATGGCTTATATGGGAGGTCCAGTCAGGACTGTGGATGATTACATCATCTATGTAGGCTGCTGCATTCCCACGATGAGGTTGGAGCACCTGCTCCATCATCCTTTGGAATGTGGCTGGCGCGCCATGGACTCCGAAGGGCAGGACTTTATGGTGATATAGGCCCTCCAGGGCAGCAAAGGCCGTCTTTTCCTTGCCTCCTTCTGTGAGGGGAACCTGCCAGTAATCCTTGGTGAGGTCAAGAGTGGACACAAACCGGGCTGGGCCTAATCGCTCGATTAGCTCATCAACTCTCGGCATGGGGTAGGCATCAAATTTTGAGATTTCATTCAATTTCCTAAAATCATTGCAGAATCCATCAGTGCCATCCGATTTGGGAGTCAGAACAATTGGGCTGGACCAGGCACTATGTGACTCCTCAATAACCCCCATTTCCAACGTCTTTCTCACCTCTTCCTTGATGGTCTTCCTTTTTGCCTCTGGGATGCGATAGGGCCGGAGCCTCACCTTCTTTCCTGGCTCGGTGATTATGTCATGCTGGATCACATTGGTGCATCCAGGTAGGTCAGAAAACACATCCTAGAACTGACTGGTCAGTTCCACCACGTCTTGCCGGTGGGCCAGGCCCAACTGGGGGCCTAGAGGTACCTGTGAAGGGACAGGGTCTGGGATTTCAACGGTTAATGTTGCCATCGGAACACCGTCAGGGGCATGCCATTTCTTTAACAGATTGATGTGATAGATTTGACAGGCCTTCCTTCTCCCAGGTTGTCTCACCTTATAGTTAACCTTGCTCACCCTCTCAATCACTTCATAGGGTCCATGCCACTTGGCCAGGAACTTACAGTCAGCCGTTGGAACCAGGACAAACTAACCGGGCTGGAACTCCCGCACTTGAGCTTTCCGGTTGTAGATTCGGGCTTCAGCGTGTTGTGCTTGCTGCATATGCTCCCACACTAGGGGCCATATTTTACCCATCCTCCTTTGCATCTGGTCCACATACTCTATTACGGAGTGGTGGGGTGATGGCTGTTGCTCCCAGGCTTCTTTAGCCAGATCCAGCATGCCCCTGGGTCTCCATCCATACAGCAACTCGAACGGCGAAAACCCTGTGGAAGCCTGTAGAACTTCTCGGATTGAAAACAAGACAAAGGGGATTAGTTGGTCCCAGTTCTTCCCATCCACATCAATAGTCTTCCTCAGCATTTGTTTTAGTGTGTTATTAAAACGTTCTACGAGGCCATCTGTCAGTGGGTGGTACACTGAGGTTCTTATTTGGCTCACCTTCAACAACTTGCACATCTCCTTCATGACCCGAGACATGAAGCAGCTTCCCTGGTCAGTTAGGACTTCTTTTACAATGCCAACTCGACTAAAGAGTAGGAATAATTCTCTGGCAACTGCCTTAGCATTTGCAGTGCGTAATGGGACTGACTCTGGGTAGCGGGTGGCATAATCCATGATGACCAGGATGTAACGATGCCCCCTACTGGACTTTGGCAGGGGTCCTACTATATCCATGGCCACTCTATGGAAGGGGACATCAATTAAGGGTAACGGGATCAAGGGATTCTGATAGTGTACCTTTGGAGCAGTCTTCTGGCACTCCCGGCAGCTTTTGCAATAATCCTGGACCGCCCTCTTCACCCCAGGCCAGTAGAAGCGACCCAGGATTCGGTCGTAGGTCTTCTCTGCCCCCAGATGAGCTCCCAACAGGTGTGAATGGGCTAGGTACAACACTTTTGGAACATAGCATTTAGGGACTAGCAACAAGTTCCCCCAGCTTAGCTACCCTATACAAGAGGCCATTTTTCACCGAAAAATGTGGAAAAGTGGTAACACTCACCCCTTCTACCGGTTTCCCCTCGACCACCCCCAGGTTCCGTCTGGCTTGTTCCAGGTTGGGGGTCTTCCAACTGGGCAGTCCCAAACTGGCCTGGGCGGATAGCATTTTCCTCTTCTGCCTGGGGGAACTCAGAGAAAAGAGAAAAAAAAAAAAAAAAAAAAAAAGAAAAAAAGTTTGACGAAGCCTCATCCGGCCGTGGATCCTCCCTCACCAGGGCCTCCGCTGGGGCTAGGGCATCCTCATCTGTCTCCACTCCAGATGAAACGGTTGGGCTAGATGGTGCTGCACAGGCATGTACCACCTTGGCTTTCCGGTTTCCCCGACGTTTCTTGTTTGAACAGCTTCTCCTGTGGCCAGACGCCCTGTGGGCCCACAAACACCAAAATATGGGACAGTCTTTTTCTACCACCCCCGCCATGACTTCAAAAGTGCCCCTTGTGGTCTGAACCTTAATGTGGGTGGTGGGGTAATTCCGCAAATCCCCATGGACACAGGAGACTGGGATAGGGGGCCCTCTGGGCCCGGTTGTCAGTCCTGGCCTTAGGAGAGTGACGGCACTCCCAGAGTCCAGTAAGGCTTCTGCATCCTGGGCCCCTATTCTGACGGGAAGCTTTGGGGCCCTTGTGCCCTCATGGGCCCAGCAAGTAGTAAGATAGCTGCCGGCCTTCTGTTGTGCATCTGATGAGCCCGCCGTGGGCATCATTACATCACCCACCGGACAATTCCAAGCTAAATGGCCCTCTTGGCCACAGGTGAAGCACTTCCGGCAGTCCTGATTCACAAGGGGTCAACGGGGGAGGGGTGGCCTGGGCTGGCCCCCCTGGGGGATCTGGCAGTGGGGTGGTGTCTCCGGGTCACCCTTCCTCAGCCTTGGCTTGTCTTCCCTGGGGTCAGAGCGGCTGGGTCGTAAGGGCTCTTGCCGACTGCTCCGCATTAGCTCCACTGTGACCTGGTGGTTTTCCAATAGCGCCACCAGGTCATCCATTGTCTCTGGGCTGCTTTGGGAGGCATGTCGTTTGGCATCCCCTGGTAGTGTTCTAACACACCGGTCCATTACAACTCTGTCCATGGCTGATGGCCCATCCCCCGTGGTTAACCAATTACGTGTCAGGCGCATAAGGGTTGCAACCTGCGGTCGCACTGGGGCAGTGGCGTCATAGGTCCAGGAGTGGAACTGTTGGGCCCTTGTCTGGAGGTTGTGACTGTAATGGGCTAAAATGGCTGCTTTTAATGCCTCATAATTATTCACTTCTGTAGGGGAGAGGTCCCGACAGGCTTTTTGTGCTTCGCCTGTTAAAAAAGGGGCTAGGATCCCTGCCCACTCTGCTTTAGGCCACCGCTCCCTCTCTGCAGTTCTCTCAAAAACCTCTAGGTAGGCCTCAATGTCATCTTCGCCGTTCTGTTTGGTGAGCACTTTACTGGGTTCTGTAGGCCTCTCTGGTTTTATCAGATGCTGGCCCAGAGTAGTCATTGGATCCTGTAATGCTCTAAGGCTCTCGGCCTGCTGGGTTTGGATGTATATGAGCTGTGCTAGTGCGTTCTCCATAGCACTGCGTGTCTCTCTCTCTGAGTACCTATTTTATTCTGAATCTTTAGCGACGGATCACCGTGCCCACATTCTCCACCAAATGTGGCAACCTGGGGGACGTGGAGGCGAGATTCAGATATAAAACAGGTGACTCAGAGACAGTAACCATGTAACAAAAAGTGTCTTTTAATAAACAGGGTGGGGTAAAGGGGGATAGGGTCAAACTCAACAAAAGATTCCTCCCAGTCGGGGTCTTTGGCCTTCGGTCTACACCCAGTGTGACGATTCCTCCATCATGTTTGGGCAGAGCAGAGGAGAGAGTCCGCTGAATTACCTCCGGTCTGCTGAAGCTCCTCTCCAGAGGTGCAGGAGATCCTCGTATTCTTCTGCCCAGTCTGTCTGCTGCTGCTGCTTCACAGCCCTGGGAACATATGCTCATTCTAATTAGCTCATGGGCTGCAGGTGTGACCACTAGTGGCTGCAGCACCTGCACCGGATGGTATACTCCCTCTATCACCTCCCCCAACCTGAGCTTTGGGATCCGCCTCCTGTCCTGTGTCTGCTCGGCTTTTCCCCCTGGTTTGCCACAGTACATACACTCAAGCAACAACACCCCTGTCCCCTTCTTGTATTTCTGTGTTGATGCATCTCACAACACTTTTCCTACACAGAACACTTTGAATCAGAAATTGTGACTCACTGTGATTTACCCTTAAACTAATAACAGCAAGGGTCATGACAAATGTTATCAAATGTTTCTCTGCACAGGAAGCCATCGTTGAGGAGCAGGAAAAGAAGAAGGATATCAGTCTGTAGGTGTCTTGTTTTTGCATGTTGTCTGTCTTGTTCTTGTTCTTCTTCCTCCTCCTCCACCTCTTTCCCCATTTGAATCATTTTCAAACCCTGCTGATTTGCAGCACCCTCTGTGTGAAATCCCTATTGATGTGCATCTTGGATTATTTTTAAGAAATTGACAGTAAACCACAAAAAGGACATGACTGGAGAGACAATATATTATAATGTCCTGTATGTCCTACTTAAGCTATCACATTAGATGTTATCCTCTACTCTGACATACAGTTGTAAAAAGTAATTTTAACCTTTATTTTTAAGCAAATTGATCATTACTAGTGCAGTGGCCGTTGAAAACATGCCTGTGCAGAACGAGCTTAATGGTTGTCCTGTGGTGTTGCTACTTGCAGCTTTCTGGAGAATCGCTCATACAAACAACTTCACACTCAGCACTGAGCTTTCTCTGGTCCTCAGCAACACACCTGACATGAGATAGTTCCATCACACACCCATGTCTTGGCTATTCACAGTCAGAAACAATACATTCTGTTTAAAAGAAAAAAACAGCAGGGACAGACTTTGCTGTTAGGAAAAATAGCAACCTGGTCCAGCAGCTTTAGATTAATTGTTATGTTTAGAAATGAAAAACATTGAATTGTGTTACTATTATAACACTTTGTAGCCTGAAATAACTTAAAGAAAGCTCCCAAATCTCTTCAAACAATGCAACTCATCTGTATACTTACTATGTACTTCTACTTGAGAGGAAAACATTGCACTACTACATTTACTTGAAAGAGAAATGTTACTTGTTACATTGCATATTTAGATTTGATTCATAAAATATAACAATTAAAATATGATGCATTATTATTCATGAAAGGATCTAGCATCATATTAGAATTGAAGAACCACCTTGAACAGAGTTAATTATATTTACGCACATTGGGCTCTATCTTCTCTTCTCTTCAAGTAAACATCTGAATGTCCAGTATTAATAGTTTCACTATTAATAGTTAACTTTATTTCAGAAAAAGGGTTTTGAGAACTTATTTTAGCATTGCCGATAGCAACATTCCAAATTAGAGAAAGGGTGAAAAGTAAAGCAGGACAGCATTTGCCGGGAGCCGTGAAAAATACACCGAGGTCGGGATTACTCAATGAAATACACTTAGCGAAGGTGATTTCCAAATAGGCTTTGGTCTCTTACTTCACCAAAACCAGCTATAAAGAAGATCATGGATTTAATTAGCGGAGGCATTTTGCTGGCAATATTAAAATATTAGTGTAATACAGTGGCGGGCCTGCATTTTATACCTGGGCCTTCTGTGCTGTCCTACTGAGCTACGGTTATTTGTTTCTATTGGTGTAATAATACACGTATTCGTATTAAACCGTTCAGTACGAGGCTTACAAACCGAACAATACGTTTGAATAATACTAGTGCATTTGGAAAACGCAGAAGCTTAAATTGTGGGAAATATAATGTTTTCGGTGGACTGCGCTCACATAACAGACAACGGGACAGTGGCGGCTGGTGGAAATTTTTCTAGGTAGGGCCATCCTATCAATTTCAGCAAACATCCCAGTATGATTTAATGCAAAAAAGTTAAAGTATCAAACATGCACTACTACTTTGCAGTTAAATAATTAACATTTATTCCAACACGAAAACACCCAGTAAATAACACTTTGATAAACATGTCAGGACATCTTATTTTAGTCACCCTCACAGGGAATTCAGTATAATATAATATATATATATACAGTATAATATATATCATATAATAATATTCAGTATAATATAAAACACACATATATAGATATATATATACAGTATATATATATATAATATAATAGAACATGTTTATTTATTGAGATGCCAGTATGGACCTTGTTATGGGAGGTAACGATCAGGAGAAGTACATGAAGTGTAATTATGAATACTGATGTTAAATTAAGCTATGATGAGTTTTCACTGTTGTGCTGGGATCAGCTCTTTGGCCTGAAGAATCTCCGCCAAAGTTCTCTTCTCAAACGAGACTTGGAGGAGTAGTGCTGGTGCTGGCGCTTGCCTGTAGAGACTTCTCCTGACGAGAACGCGCAGCTTTGGGCCAAATCGGTTTGGCCCCAAGCTGAATCTATTTGAGGACGCTGATTGGCTAAATTGTATGTCACTCGTTTATATCTTCAATCAGCAATTGGATAAACTGCTTCTTAGACCTGCCTCTTTTGGGCCAAAACGATTTGGCCCCCCTAGCTGCGCGTTCTGAGACGTGTCGTGCACACAGGCGGAGAGGACGAGCACACAGGCGGAGAGGACGAGCAGGAAAAGCATATATTTTGCGCAGATATAATATTTTACACATATTACTGGGTACATTCCATAGTTCAAAAACACAAATATTGACAATTTGTATAATTTATTATTATTATTATTTTTTTTTTTTTTTTTGCGTGGCTTAAAGTGGGGCCAGGCCCCATGGCCCTCTATTGGCCAGCCGCCACTGGTTGGCTATCTACTCAATTTGACTTGAGAGAAGTGAAGAAGGGTTGTAAAGTGAACTTACGTCAATGAGCTGCTGGACTCAGTCTGCAGAGCGATGAAGCCCCACCCCTACTGCTGCACAAAGCGCTGTGTGTGTGTGTTTATCAATGGTTATTTATATTTAACGTGTTGCTTGTCGAAATTGAACCAAATTCTAGAAAAACACTCCATGAATTCAAAACACCCACCAAGTTTGAAGTAGATCGGATGAGCTATTCTTGAGCTATGTGAAAGATACACACACAGATAGACAGGCAGAGAGACAGACGACAGACAGACAGAGAGACAGACAGGCAGAGAGACAGACAGGCAGAGAGGCAGACAGACAGACGGACAGACCTACAAACAGACAGACATAGAGACAGGCGGACAGACAGAGAAGTACAGAGTTTTTCTTCAAAACATTTTGAAGAAAAACTGTGAACTTCCAGAATTTTGGGAGATAAAACTTGAGCTCTTCCACCAATCCATGTATTTCTCTGTATTTGTGTGTTTCTTCAGGGCAGTTCTGATCAGTCTGCGTATCTTAGCCAACATCCTGGTGCTGCTGTCTCTGGCTGGCAGCATCTACATCATCTACTTTGTGGTGGATCGTTCTCAGAAGCTAGAGCAGGAAAAGCCGGAGCTGACGCTTTGGGAGAAGAATGAGGTACAGACATCATTAGTTTGATTAGATTATTCAACATACAATACTGTTCCAAGGAATCAATGACAGTGGAGAACCGAGACTGATTCAGTACAGCTCATCATTTCATTCCCTTCAGAGAGGCTGCTGTTCTACCAGCCAAATAATTATATGATCAGTTCGTCAGATCAGCACGTGAGAAGAAGATTCTGATGATCCAATTTCTAAGTCTTATGTTTTCTTTCCTGTGTTCATGACTGAAGAACAGTTTAAACAAAAGGATAATTTTTGTGATAATTTCTCTAATCACTTTAAACACAAGATTATATAAATTAAAGGTCACCTTGAAGACAACATGAAAACTTTGCATCCTAATTAGAAGGTAGTGCTCTTCAGCCTCTTCGGGCTGAAATGAAGAACAAACACTCACTGTCTGTTTGTACATTTTTTAAACTTAGAAAGATTAAACTTAGAAAATGGATCACCACAGGTTTTTCTCCAGATCAGTGTTCAGCTCTGCATGAAGATATAGTCTACAAGTCATGTTTTGTAACCATGATGGCAAAGAATCCACTTCTGATCGGTCTAATTTAATCTTCAAATATCAAACACGTGATGTTTTAAAATATACTTATGGCCATATAAGTTCAAATTTAGAGAACCGTTGCAACTAACAAATATTGTTATTTGTGATTTATCAATTATTAATATTCTGTTTAATCATTGCATATTTGGTCTCAACAAAGGTCAAAACCCCAAAGATATGCAATTGACAATGATACTGCAATGACTTAGTTTGTGTTAGAGTATGATACCGTAGAAAAACAAGAAATTCTCACACTTGTAGAGCTTAATGTGACCAGCACAGAAGGATGTGTATGGTTGTCATTTTATTGATACAGCTACTCAGCGGTTGCTTGTTGGGTTCTTTAGATTTGTGTGCAAGGAAAACAGATTACGAATGGATTCACTGCTTAGCAGGTACTGCTGGTAGGAGGAGGGCCTGGTCTCAGCATCAATGTCTTTAAGAATTTGCCTACATGGTGAATTAGGCTTTTACACTGTAAGCCTGACGAGTTCCTTATGGTGATGTCAAACATACCGAATAGGGAGGACCAGTATGTGCTGTGATTGTATGAGGTAAACATATCAACTCTCATTTGGACAAAAAGGACTGTGGCTTAAAAATGTTTTTAGAATTCTTTTTACACTTAATGAGATTATAATTTATTCCGTTTTTGCTTGTTTCATTAAATTGAAGTTCTATGATAATTACATGAAATGAAATATTCAAATACACGTTTTTTTTTTATAGGTACATACATCATTCATTGTTATTCTACTATATCCACTTCTGCTACATTTTTCCATTATTATTATACTTACTACTCATTATATGAATCATTTATGTCATATGCATTGAATGTGTTGTAACTGTTGTGTTGTTCATTCTATACACATGACATCTGTCACACATCCTGATAGAGGATCCTCCTCTGTTCCTCTCTCTAAGGTCTCTCCCTGTTTTCTCCCCGTTAAAGGGATTTTTTGGGGGAGTTTTTCCTGTTCTGATGTGAGGGTCCAGGGACAGAGGATGTCATTATGTGTACAGATTGTAAAGCCTTCTAAGGCAATTTTCAAATTTGTGATTTGAATACAAAATTAATTGAATTCCACCAAATCAAAATATTAAAAATATTTTATTCTCTCTCCCAAATTTTGCCTCACATATTTGTAACTTGTAATGGGAAAATATGTTATAGTATCATGTGAAGTTTTAAAGAATGTACAACTGAAAGTGATGAACACAGACAGACACAAAACAGCAGTCCTGCAGAAGTAGTTAATCAATTTATGAACCAGATGTCCTGTTTTCTCTTACTTTTGGTTTATCACTCGCTCCCACACAAGAAGGGGAAGTGAAGACTGTAAGGGAAAAATATATTTTACTCTTTGTGACCAAGTTGTGAACCCGAAACTTACGTGTGTTTAAAACTATGCAGTAATGAGGAACTTGTTGTAAATCTCATTTCATCTTGATAACAGTGACTGGTTCCCAGCGAACACACCTGACAGGAACTAAATAATGAGCAGAAGCTTTTAACCTGTGTCAGAAGACCTCTCCTCCCCGGTGTATGATTTATCTGCAGAAGAGGACCTCTCCGTGTATAAAACGGTGATGAATCCTATAGTTAGTGGAAGCATTCACACAGTCTACTGAATACGTAGCTGTCGGGCTTTCTTCCCTCTTGCAAGAGAATAAACGGACAAAGACAACTTTGAATCTTCTGATGACTTTATTATTATTTGTGAACAAAAACTCTCTTCTCCCGATTAACCTAGAAATTTTCCACCACAAACTCCACTTAAAATAATGGGAGTTAGTGTTAAGTTCACTGTAATTTAGTTGTGTGTTTGGATCAAAGAGCCTAATTTTACATATCTGCTGATAGAGACAGAGGCACAGTAAAGTGTCTATCTGCATATGTATAATCAGTTTTAAGGTGAAATCTTAATTCTCAAAGGGGAAATACAATATAGTCTCCGTGTTCTTCCTCTCTCAGGTGAGTGTGGTGGTTTCTCTCATCACCATGATTGCTCCGTCTGCTTTTGAGCTGGTGTCTCAGCTCGAGATGTACCACCCACGAACCTCGCTGCGTTTCCAGCTGGCCAGGTACTCCGTCACTACATTACTGCTTCCGAAGGCAGCACTAATTACACACTGTACATCCCAGGTCTTACAGCACACTAACATTGGTCATGTGTCTATGTGTTTACAGAGTGCTTGTTTTGTACCTGGGGAATCTCTACAGCCTAATTATTGCCCTCCTTGATAAGGTCAACATTATGAGCTCTGCTGTGAGTATAGAAAATATAGAATTCTTTTGTTGTTAGTTTCATAGCCATCATTCCCAATGTGTTACACCTGACCACATACTTTGCATTTCACCTCTACTGGGTACTTACAAGTTATAGAAAGCCAACTACTAACTAACAGCAGAGCAAGAACATTCAACCAAACTGCTCAAAACTCTGAGAGACGGTCAAATTAGCACGCCGCCTTAGAATCTTCAGGTGAGGCGTCGGCCCATCTGTGTGTTTAGTCTGTGTTCACTTTGATATTTAATTAATTGGATCAAATCCAAAGAAATTAGAAACGACCCACACCTTCAGGAGAAATCGTACTCACCACTGCCAGGAGAACACCCTGCTGGGAATTCCGGGATCAGACGCCCAGTCAGCAGCAGCAGCAACTCAAATCCACAAACCACAGCATCAGAAGTCACAGCGGGCTGGTGGAGTGCTGGGTCTAACCTGTGTAACGGAGGCAACAGAAAGTTTGGTGATCTGGCGGGGAGTCAGGTCAGTCCCTCAGGATCAGACCCCCGGTGCTCGGGTTAGGGCTGGCTGAATTTGAGCTAATTGCAAGCTGGGGGTATGTCACCTGGAGCTGCTGCACGCTCTCCTCCCGGAGAAGTAGTCACCTGGCAGCAGGAAGGACGAGGCAAGGGTCTCCTTTTTGCCATATGGATTTAATCCAATAAACAATCAAAACTCACTCAGACCATGGATATTTTATTGACAAGCCCTCGGAGCAGCTCTACTTTTTGTTATCTGGACTGGGGGCAGACTGGACGCTATATTGACTCACTATCGCCTTTCAAAGAACAAGTTGTATTTCAGGACACCTTGCTGATTGGCAGTAGGGATCTCTGCAGCACAATACATTGAGATATCTGGCATAATGTCAAAACTGTTACTTCTTCACATAAATCTCATTAGGACTGACCCCAATGCTTCAAAGCTTTGAAGTTTCGACCATTGCCATGGTAATCGCCATCCAAATTAGTATTGAAATGCCTTTTTTTACCGAACAACATGTTAGCCTGCTTGCATTTCACTTCATCCTGTTGCATGGCCTGAGCTGTCATCTCAAAAGTCATGTGTCTGAAATAATTTCACAATTTGCGAAGATGACTCCCAAAAAAGCCAAAAGCCAGATATGCTGAAGGAAACTTGCATATCCCAAATCTATAACGAGTTTGGCAAATCACCTGAAAACTGTAAGTAACAGCTACGCTATTTTGCAATTCCTATTGGTGAGCAATGATAGCTAATTCTTATCATGTTATTGTTGGTTCATCTACTGAAAACTAATGTTTCCCCGGCCCCTCACAAAAAACACTCGACTCTGTGGCGGTAAAACCCATTACAGAGAAGAGAAAGAGAGTCATAACTGATGCTGTAGTGTCATTCATTGTTCATGACATGAGGCCCCTTAATATTGTGGAAGGGAAAGGATTGAAACAAGTAATGAAAACACTGGAACCAGGCTACACTCTGCCTAAGTAGAAGAGTGCTGTATTTCTTGTGCAGTGACAGCAAGGTAAAATTATGCAGCGTTCTCCTAAAATGTTCGGCCCTCAGCCAACGGACAAGTCAACAAATGGAGGTATACATGACGGTGACGGCTCATTGGATTAACATTGAAAAAGCTGCAGGTCTGCCGAGACCCTCAGCTCCTTTAAAATCAAGATTGAAGACTTTGCTGATGCCTTTAATTGAACCAGATTCAAGGATATTAATCAATTCCCTGCATTTCTGCATTTTACTAGTGTATTTTATTTCTTAATTACCACTCCAGTAAAATTTGCCTAAAACACCTATCCAAGGCATACCCAAAGTAAATTGAAAGCTGTTCTTGAACCATTTGGAGTACATGCATGGGTTTGGTGTCTTTTGAAAGGTAACACTCTGAAGTTTTTTCCCCCAACAGTCAGAATCACTGTAAGTGCTACTGGCATTGAGTAATAGAAGTTTGAATACACTGAAGTAGAACGTTTTTATTTCCACCTGAATATTTTTTGCAAACAGATGCCTGCCGATGACTATAGCTGGGACTTATTAGCTGGAAAACACAATGGGACCACAGCATGAAGCCTTACCTAGTCCATGTTCAAATCTGATAACAATACCACAGAAAATTAATATTTCATGTTTGTCTAAGGTTTATGCCTAGGCGCTTTCCAAAAAAGGCCATTTGGAGACGCTTGGTAACCATGGTCACATACCTAGGCTAAAAAGGCCTAACCCACTCCTGATCTGAATCTACATCATATGATTGCCTATTATGTAATTTCTCTAAATCTACCCACTCAAGCAGCACATCGTCATTTTCGAAATTTCATTGGCTATACGAAGCGTCAGTCATCAGAACGATCGGTTTCAATTGGCTCGGTCTTTATACAAATGAAGGGGGGCAGGCACTTTCCTTTAACGCGGACTCTCGTTGGCTATTGTAGGCTGTGGACAGGACATAGACATGACCCTATTGGGTCAAGTGAGGTGTCAATCGAAAGGTCAGAGTGCAGCCGCCATTTTGAGACCCAGATACCGGCAATGTTAACATGCGAACTGAAGTTACTACGGAAAATACATAACTAATTAGGCATATCTGCCAGCTAATTTGAAATGATGCAACAGCAGTCCGTGGGTATTTATTGACATAATAATGTGTTTTGGACTAAATATTGTACTGGATTGGATTGCGTGCTGTCAGTTTCTTTTAGTGGCCATTTAGTAAATGTATATTGAGTACATAATTGTAAAGGTAAAATAATACAGCCTTGACTTGGTTTAACACAGGACATGAACAACGGTCTACTGGGTGGAAGTCCTGTCTTTCTTTGACCCATTCAACCTCACCTCCCAGCCACACATGAACTTTCTCACTCTTTATACTCCTTCAGTTGTTCTGACCATCTCATAATTATATGGATGTGTTATCATCGGAGTCAGTTGAAAGCCCGGAGCGTCTCATACACTCTAAAGGGACCCTCAGTGTGACGCACTGAGAAACAATATATTTTATTTATTTATTAGTTTTCGGGGTTAGTATGCAAGCTTCTATTTGCCTTTATTGGACAGTTGATAGTGAACTACATTTCTCTTTGTGTTTGGATTTTCCGCCGTGTGCAGTCTTTATGCTAAGTATTAACTATTATGAACTATTACTTTCACACCACTAAGTAGCTATCTCATAATTACTTGCCCATATAAGCGTGACATAGCATGTAGCTGGTAATGGATCCTACTTTTTGTCTTCCAGGTCCCAGTGAGTCCAGTTAACTGGTCTGACTCCAGCTCCTTCCTGGCCACCATCTCTCAGCCTGACAGCTTCTCCACCCTGATTTCTGAGATCTCTGTCTCTGAGCATCGCAACAGCACCATAGCGACCATTGCCACACTGCTGGACGTTAGGAACACCAGCACAAGCAGCTCAGGGACCATCTTCAACCAGACAGCTCTGTTTGAGAAGAACACCCGCTCTCAGCAGGAGCAATGCTGGGAGACCTATGTTGGACAGGTACTTTCTTCTGATTACCATACACTACACTCATATTCATGTGGCATCTTTCTTCTTTTCTACAGTTGAAAGTAGGTCCAGAGAAAACTGAGGGAAGTCACACTTTTCTAATGACTGTCTAAAACTAGATTGCGGTCACTTTTACTAGTTATCTGAAAATGTTCCCTTACACTAAAAATGGTATTAAAACATTGAATAAGATTTTTATTTATTTAAGGGCAATACATTTGTTAGAATTAGAGATATAGAATACTGGCACAAAAAATACTGTAGCTCTCAATCAGAATACAACATATAAACATTTGCTAATTAGCAATAAACACAAATTAGAGCTGAGGCTGAAGGGAATGACATTAGCATAGCAGGTATTGTAGTAGTCATAAAACCACGTTTGGACAAAGTGAAATTTTGACGATTCTTTTGAGGATGGCAGTGGAGGAAATGTCAGGAAGTTATTACAATTCTTCCGAATTCATGCATTTTTAACAATTCCATGGCAATCCATCCATACATTTTTTAAGCATTTCAGTCTGGACCAAAGTAGCCGATGTTGGGAATAACATGGCCTCAAAAAGGGGGCACCAATATGTTGGGAACGTAAAGGAGCGTGTTTGGGTCATCAGCATCTAAGAAACTAAATTGACATCAATAGAATTATTAATGTCAGTAACAATTATTAATGATTACTAATAATAACGGGGCACCACCCTGCGAACAGGGACCAATAACCAAACGATAAAACTAAGTCTCATAATTAGTGTTCACTCACAATGTCAATAGTCTGAGTACTATTACACATTCAGAGTGAAAGTGAAGGTTTAAGCTCGAGCACAGACCACATATACAGCTATTATCACAATACACGCACAAAGTAATCACAGACAGCTGCTCTTTAAAATATAACAGAGTTTATTACGTTCTAATACTAATGATCTAGTCAACTAATATCTAAACTAACAACAACTATACATTTATGAGCACGCTATCTAAAATCAACAGACGATTGAAAAGAGGGGGGGGGAAGTGTGTGTGCGTGTGTGTGCGTGTGTGTGTGCGTAAGGGGGAGGAGCGAGGGAACAGCTCAGCGACGTATGACGTAGTTGGGACGTAGTGACGTCTCTCATGCGTGAGACTCAAAAATGGCGGATAGCCAACAGGAGACCTGGCGTCTATACGTGCCGGTAGCCGTTTAGCACGTAGCTACATTAGCTCAAATCTATATGTCTGTGTGTTTGTGTGGATTAGTAAAAGAGAAGGGAATGGAACAAAGCAAAATTAAATAAAACAAAAGATTAAGATCCTTCGCGCCGCGCTGGAGTACGGAAGATTGCTCTCTCAGCCAGGGGAGCAAGTACCGCGACTCTTTGTCTCAGCCGGCAGTTCTGACCTCCTGAACTGATGAGAAGCAACTTCGACCTCACTGCGGCTGTCTCGACACGAATCACAGTAGCATGGAATACACGCTAACTTCTACACAACACCAGCAATTTCAGGGATCGCCAGTGTCGGTGATCATAAAGCATACACCACGTTATAAAAATGAACAGTACTTTAAGCACACAAACAAGATAAAATAAACACAAATTAACTCTCTCTAACTCTGCCCAGAATCTATTTCGCCTTACGGTATGATGCAATCGTGGTGATTGAGGGGGGGTTTCTTCTGAGGGGTACTTCTGAGCTTCGTTGGGCCCAGGCAGCGCGGCTGCGGGCCTCGGGAGGTGTTCTCTCGGTAGGAGAGATTCGCTGTCGTCTGGATAAGGGATTTTCGCGTCCTTATGTCCGGAGCAAACGAGGCGCTTGGTGGAGAGTGGAAGTTCTCTCTCTCTCTTTCTGAAGAAGTCTTGCTTTTTCACTTCTGCAGGAATAAAAGGGTTCGCTTCGTGGATACGAACAAAGATAAAATAGACAGTTTGGTGAATTCGGCCAGCGAATATAAACTGTTAGACCTAGGATTTGGTTGAAAAGGGAAACAACGTTGGTGTGCTCACTAGCTCGACGGAGGTCGAAGGGGCAAAAGCATTGAGGTGGGGGTTGCAGGTACTTTTGTAGAACAGTGGCTGAACCACAGGGGTCCTGTGGTGTCTTGGCTCTCGGCCAATTAGATTGCAGCGCTGCTTTCAGGTACCTTCAGGAATGCATAGTTTTTGGGGGAGGAAGATCGTCTTACCGGAGGTCCCGCCTCGGCATCCCTTCTCTCGTCCAATGAGAGCAGTGTGGCATTTCGGGGAGGAAACTCACACCCTAATGTGAATTTCTTCAAAGTTGGGGGGTTTGGTGCTCATCAAACTACAATCAGGATGAAACCTTTGCTTGCAAAAGGCAAGGCCTGACTCTCTCTCTTTGTTCCACAGCACATGTCGAAGCCATATAGTCAGATCCCAACACCGACATACGAAAAATAAATACAGTTCATGAAGGCTTTCTCTGCTTTCTGTTGATGTACACATCATTAAGCAGTATTACTCTATATGTCATTCTCTTTGTACAGTACCTACGAGATAACTGCCCAAATACATTTCTGACATGCTCATCCTAATGCAATCTCTAAAAACAGATATCTACCTTTGAATGCGGAGTCAACGAAACAAGATTTCAGTATCGGAAGTGTTCTTGTTTTTTCTTCCGTTTGCAGTCCACATAGTCTTGACCAATCACATTTGAGCAGGTTTTGGTTTAATGCTGGTAAACAACCCGTGTGGAGGGCCAAATGCAATCTGGGATGTCACCGGCCAGGATTTAGCTTTTTATTAGATGGCTAATTGGCTCCTTGTTAAACAATCCGGTCGTAAATGTCGTGTCTAAACTCCAACTCCAGTCGCTCGTTTCAAGTCTCAGACTGTAAACAATGACCTGCGTTTTATATTTATTATTTTACTTCTACTTTAATTGTTTTTATTATTTGATACTCTTTGTTTTCTTCTTTTTTCTTTTCCCTCCTCTTGTCTTGCTCCTTTTATCTTACTTGTATTTTTGTTCATATGTATATATTTGTATATTTATGGAGATATTTGTGTATATGTACAGTATTTGTGTATTTTTTGTTGATATAGTATATCCATCCTATATTACCACTTACACACAGCCTCATTCAACACCTCTCACTCACCATTAATCGGATCTCACAAACGATGAACACACACGCATCCATCTCTATACATTTTGCCGGACCTCCGTTTTTCACACTTATACCATCAGTCTATTGCATTTGTCCCCTCTGCTTTTGTTTTTGTCTTTGTCTTACTTTGTGTTGTCTTTAGTCGTTTATGTGTTCATGTACTTATTTTGTAACCCCAGAATTATAGCCGTTGTCCCCAGAGGCTAAATCGTCGTCAGACTGATAGGCGATTGGGATGTATTATACTGACAAGAAGAATTAAAATGTATTCTCCTCCTGCAAGTCCTGACTGTGCAGACGTCCGAGTTCTTAAACAAACAGCAAAAAACAATACTGAGCAGTTTTTGTCTGTTGAGTGGTGGAAAATGTATCGAACTGCACATGTTTGTATATTGACATAATGTACACACAGTGTGTGTGTGTGGTGTGTCTCCAGGAGATGCTGAAGCTGTCCATCATTGACATGATCTTCACGGTGGCCAGCATCCTGCTCATTGACTTCATCAGAGGTTTGGTGGTTCGCTACCTGAGTGACTGCTGCTGCTGGGATTTAGAGAGCAAGTTTGTAAGTTGTGCACAATTTGAGTTTTTGTGTTATAAAACTTTAAAATGATTTACTTTGACCAATTGCTGGCAACCAGTGAAGACTTCAGGAAGTTACTACTTGTAGCCAACAAATAGTCCAGCACATAAATCCAGAATTGTCATTTTTATACTTTTTGTATGGACTAAGCAAACAAGATTTCACGTGTTAATCAGTGAGCTCTGGAGGAGCTGGTAGGCACATTTTGTTACCTTTGGACACAGCCTGGCTAGCTGTTCCTCCTGTTTCTAAGCCAACCATCTCCTGTCAGTAGCCTTGGACAGATAAGAGAGAGCTATTGATTTTCTCACCCTCTTCACCATAAGTGAAAAAGCAGATTCCCTAAAAATATCAAAATAATTCCTTTCAAGATACCTTGTGGAGTTTTCTTGTAAACAAACAAAGTTTCTGTTTATCAATTGTACCTGCTGTTGTGATTGTATCTTGAAAGGGTTTGCATAAATCGAATCACAAGAATCTTAGCTCTCCAGAGATATGCCGTATGAGTATCTACCTATAAATAGCAGTTGTGTACATAACACAGAGGTACAGTTAACACTCCAAAAGACCGTGGGCGGGCCGTCGGAGTGTTAGCAGCAATGAAAAAAACAACTCCCGACTTCACAACATCATCAAAATACATCTTTTGTGATTGTTTTGATTGAAAGACCCCTAGCGGCAAAAATGATATGCTGTGCTTTGAAGAACATAAATACAGGATAGAAGTATTTGAGCTTCATTCAGATGCAGTGCAGAACATAAATCTTTTTAACCTGGGTTTAAAGGTGATTAAAGTCGGTGCAAGTCTAATACCTACCGGAAGTTTGCTCCAGCTCTGTGGTGCACAGGAACTGGTTCTCCATGTTTAACATGGACCCTCCATCTGATGACTTGAGGGGCTGAGAGGGTTCATGTGGTTGAAGACATCAGGGATGTATTTCAGTCCGAAGGCATTGACAGATTCATAGACACGCAGTAGTACTTTACACTCTTTTCTGTGGCACACTGGAGGCCAGTGCAGAGACCTGAGAATGAGTGTGATGTGTTCACTTTTCTTGGGTTTTGTTAGATCTCTAGCAGCAGCATTGTGAATGAGCTGAAGTAGTCTGAGGGTGTTTTGGGGAGACCTGAGAAAAGACCATGACAGTAATCTAACTTAATTTTGTTCCCAATCTGTTTAGTGTGTCACATTCATTCTGGTGAGCCAGCATGCACAATGCCAGAGCCCTAGCCAAACTAAATGGAACAGTGCCATGATTAACGTTATGAATAACACGTGTTCACCCAACAATGACGTGTCAAAATGGCTGCGGTGAAAGAGCCTATTATCTCAGTTTTGTCTGTATTTAGATAGAGAGAGATTAGACACATGCAATCAATTATTTATTTACTTTTCAAAATAAACTCTGTTTACAGGAAACAAATTGGTTTAGTTTTGGCAACAAAATGACTTGGTAAGGTTTAGGAAAAGATTGGTGTGTTTAGGTTAAAATAACTAGCCCTACATTTGTTATGCAGATAAGAGTGTTAAGTATGTTATGTTATGTTAGTTAAAATGTCACATAACTTAAATAGGGAAGTTAAGTATGTTACGCAATTTATATAGGTTACAATAACTTAACATTGACTTTTGGTTTTGTATGGAACATGAAGTTACTTCCTGGGTGAAAGTACTTGTACTTGATGTTAAGTAAAGTATGTCTTGTAAGTTTGTTACTTAACTTAACTCATACAAGGTTAAAGTGTGTTACGTAAAATCTATTCTGTCCTCCTTCCTGCTCTTTATACTACGTCCCCTGACTTCTTCCTTCACTCCCACCATAACTATGGTCACCTTGAGGGTCATGGTTTGACAAATAGGGCCACTGGCCAAGCTGCTGTATTTGACGCCTTGGGAGTGAGAACGGACTGTGGTGGGCACAATTTCTTCCAGAGTTCTGTGGTCAAACGCTTCAAATCCAGCCAATTTAATATTTATTTCTGACAGGCTGAGGACAGATTGTGGCTGATGAGGAATGGCTATTCAAATTTGATAAATATAGGGGCATCATTCTCACTCTACGTGTCAAAACGATGATTCGGACAGGATGTGCAGTTGTTAAGCCTGCTCTTTGGCGGTGATGGGGTCTACCATAGGATGCAGTGGGTCCATGCTCAATAGAGGAAAGTAGAAGGATGTTGGGGAGAATAGACACGGGGCTGGGATTTGACTGGCAGTTATTTGAAATGTGGCAGTGCTGATTAATGGGGGTTGACTGATGAGGAAAACCTTTGGTGACTTTGCTTATCAAGGCCGTCAGCTTGGGCAGGAGAGAGACGTTTTCTCTTTTTGTCGTCTTTGTTATCAGCTAGGTTGGTGTCAGAGTGTGCTTGGTTGGGGTGGAGGCTGACGATGTGGTAGTGACTGCAGGGTGAATGTAATGACAGCGTTAGCCAGCGTTTCTATTTTATCAGTGAATCCCAAAAGCACTGAGGCACGTACATGGGGGAGTGAAGGGCGGAGGAATTAGGAGACCGATCCATGAGCTGGTTGTCAGCATGTTTTCAGGCTGTAGTGTTTTGTCTTTGTGGTGCAGAGGCTGCTGTTTATGCTCACCTTTGTCTGTCTGTCAGATGTCCTTGGCTGGAGTTGGCTGAGTTTATGCCGTAAATGTTGCCCTATGGGAGTACATTCCTGCAATTATCTTTAGGTTTGGCAGCCAGATCCCAGCAGGTAAAAAATACTAGTCCCCGCACATCTCTTCACTGGTTTAGCTTCAGTGAAGCTGGGGAGATTTATGGAGTCATTTAGAGTCAGCTGTCCATTGAAATCACTAACTCACCAGCGGGAGACACCGGCAGAGTGTCATGGAGTTCAGAGTCTTCTCCAGTGCAATTATCCTTGCTCAGAGGCACGTTGTCGAAGGTAGGTCTGTCAGAAGACCAGTAAGTTGCTGTTTGGGAACTAAAGGCAGTTGTATGATGATTGTGACCCAGAGTTTTAATCATTAAGGAACCTCCCAAATATCTTTTAGACTAAAAAAAATGATTAAGTTGATTTTGGCAGAGAGCCACCTTATCAACAGTGTGATTAAAAAAGTAGTAATGCACCAAAAATAACATCGAAATGAAAAGAGAGCAGAGAGCAAGAGCAAAAAGAGCCGTTGCACTGTAGCAAAGCAGGAAGTAAACTTAGATTAGCTTTCGTACAGTTTATTCTGTTCAGCTCGTTCCAATATTTTGTCGAAGCCAAGCTACATGATGTGTTGTTTACTCTGAGTGAAATATGTAAACGTTAAGACTCTTGAGTAGGTGCACGGTTGTATGGTTTAAATTTCATCATCATTAACATAATCGATGCGCCTAGAACTGCCAATTGACAAGGTTACCTGTTGAAGTGCTGAAATCAGCAGACAAAAAGATAAGTGAAGCAGTTTCAGTAGTGGTACTAGAGGACACAAAACTATTAGAAATATGAATAATACAGAATAATATGAATGAAACGATGTGTCATCAGAGCAGAAATAAAGAGGCGTTCCATACCAAGTGAAAGAGGTGGTTGAGAGAGATACAGTATAACATTGCCTACAGTAGGGGATGGTGCTCCACAAAGGATGATACTGGGCATCGACCTGCAGAAAGACCATGAGGCAGCTATAGACCCTTTTACAGCCAACGTCATCAGAAATATGCGTGCATATGTTCTGCCCCAGCTGTCCAGACGAGTTTGAAGTTTTAAACATTTAATTAAAACTGTTACTATATGGTGAACAGAAAATTAATTTTCTTCGTCATCTAATTATAGTTATAGTAATATAATTGTTTTTAAATACAAATTCATTCAGATTAGAGCATTATGATTTCAGGTCAGTGTTTTTCCCCAGTGGAGGGAGATAGAATATATAAATGACATTACGAGTTCATAACTCAAACAACTGGAACACTTGTGAATTTCTGTTCCTAAACCAAAGAGAAAGTTCTAAGTACAAGAAAACTGGTGAATTGGTGCAACAAATTGTTTTTAATCATTTTTACGCCACTTGAGAACAATTCTATTTGTACTAGTTGACTTATTTTACCCTTTGTTTTGTTACATAACTATCATACTTTACAAACATCAGCGGTGTAACAAACACAGGCCAACTTATTTTACGTACTTATTTTAACCCTAACCACAATCCTTTCCTAGGCCTACTCTGGTGCCTAACCCTTACTAGGTTAACTGAAAGCTAAGTAAACCTTTGTTGGAAGTTCATTTTGACACACCATGCATGTAATGAGTGGAAACTGGCACGCTGTCTCTAAAGCTCACACTAGAGGGGTACCTAGAGCATCATAGTTTAAAGCGTAGGGCCATGGACCAAGCGTTGGTGTTTGACGAGTTGGGAGTGAGAACATGTTGAGATTTAAGGTGAGCACAGAGCAGATGAATGTGAAAACAGCTTTCTAGTGTCAAACTGTTCCTTAACAGTGAGTAACACATTTTTGAGTGGAGGGAGACTTTAAATACATTTCTTGGTGGCACAAATTATTGACATTAAACATGGTGATAGTGTAAACATATTAGCAAAAGGAAAAAACAAAATAAACAGCCTGTTTAACCTTGAGTTAACATTGAATGCATCATTTAAGGACTCTATGGTTAAAAAATTGAAAGGAAAAAAACACAGCAACACATTAATGAATTTTCTGTCTTTTTTCAGCCTGAATATGGAGAATTCAAAATAGCAGAGAATGTTTTGCATCTGATTTACAACCAAGGGATGATCTGGTAAGTCCGAAAATGTCTCTAAAATCATCAACAGAAAATGAAATATAGAGGATATCTTTCTCTCATATACCTTGGCCCTCACTGTGTGTGTAATAGAAGATGTAATTCAGAGTTAATAGTCTGGCCGGTGCTGACCAGTCTCCATGACCCTGTTTAAAAGAATGTGGCCCTCTATGATCTCTCCATTACACCTCTGTGTCTGGCTCCACTGTATTTCCTCAACTCATTTCAGAAATGTCGCCTTGCAGCAATAAACATAATGAAGCAAAACCATGAGCCACAGGATGTAATGTGTGTTATATGAGGTGTGACCCCAGTGGTTGTGTGTGTGTGTGTGTGTGTGTGTGTGTGTGTGTGTGTGTGTGTGTTACTGACTTTTCTCTTTCTCTCCTCCAGGATGGGAGCATTTTTCTCTCCCTGTCTTCCTGCCTTCAACGTGTTGAAGCTGATTGGTCTTATGTATCTGAGGAGCTGGGCCGTCCTCACCTGTAATGTTCCCCATCAGCAGGTGTTCCGAGCCTCCAGGTTTGACATACACGTATACACACACACACACACACACACACGTTTGTGCATGTATGTGGGTGCTGTTAATATGCTGTATATAACTGGGTGTGTCATTAACCTTTGCTGATATCAAGAATAACATTTTTAATAATCAAATGTGTTGATGTCACCACACTGACATCCAATTATTACTAACATCAAACTGCATCTGCAATGATAAGTTTTGCAGATGAATAAGGCATACATACCGAACATAGTATTAGTCTCAACTAATGGGGCATTTAAACAGACAAAGATACACACTGCCAACGGAAACAGCTGATTATCTGAGAAACAACCATGTCAATCTAATTCCCACTTATTTACAGTACGCTATCAGTATTTACAGTAGCCTCTTAGCTAGGATAACATAACCATTGGTGATTGGACTGAAGTCAAGCAGTATAACAGTGATCCAACTGTTGGCCCTGGCAGCAGATTATTTAAAGTTTGGAGGTCCCTTTGGGCCCGCAGTTGACCCATGGCCTGCAACAAGTGACCCAGTGTTCGCCCTCTGTCGGCGGCCCTGGCTACATGCATTTAAAGGTTCTCTATATACAATATTTAGATCATTAATATATCATCTGACAACTATCATCTATTTAAAGATATAGTGGACTAATGTCGACCTGAGCAGAGCATGAAGTCTCTCCTTCTGTGTGTTCTTATCAGAGCTTCTCTTTGCTTTGTTCACAAGTATGATCCTAGTAAGTGTCCTCAAGCTGCATTCTCTCTAATGGCCACCAGGGGGCAACTCTTCTGATTGTATAGAAGTCTATGAGAAAATGACTCTACTTCTCTCTTAATTTATTACCTCAGTAAACATTTTAAACATGAGTTTATGGTCTCAATCTCTAGTTTCAAGTCTTCTTCAACACAGCATGATGTTCATTTAGTAGATTATGGTCCATTTAGAGTCAAACAGACCATAAAGCAGGGTATGCATTAGGGCGGGGCTAACTTGTGATTGACAGGTCTCTACCAGAGCCATGTACGGTGTCCCTCACTCCTCCTCAGTCCAAATATGGTCACTTCCGTTAACTGGTTATAAAAAGCCAAGATAGCGACGGCCAAAACACCGAACTTGAGGCTTCAAAGTGGAAATTTACAAACCAATGGGTGAAGTCACGAGAACTACGTCCACTTCTTGTGTACAGTCTATGGTAAAAATGCAAGAAAATTGTTGGGATCTATGTGCCTCGTGATGTGCTTTGAAACAAAGGGATCTGGGCCTGCCTATTCTGCAAGCAAGGCAGAGCCTGATTTGAGTTTGATAAGCATTCAAACCCCCACTAGAAAGAAGTTCACATCAAGGTGTGAACTCTTCACCCAAATGCAACACTGCGATCTAATTGGCCGAGGGCCACAGACACCCCAGGACCCCTGTGGTTTGGCACGGTTTCCATAAAACAGTCTCTCTCCCTCAGCTCCTTGCTTATCCCGCTGATGTCGAGTCGGTGAAAGGAGGCACGCAACGTTGCTGTGTTTAAAAGAAAATCCTAGGTTTTAAACTGTTTTATATTCGCTGGACGAATCTACTGGACTGTTTGTTTGTTTTGTTTCGCTTCCTGGGAGAGGAAGTGGACAATTTTCCTGCAGAAGTGAAGAAACGGATTCTTCAGAGAGAGAGAAGCACATTTCTCCTCTCCACCGAAGCCGCCTTTGTTCCAGCCGTAAGGAAAGAAAGATTCCACGAGCCAAGGAAATTCTCTGACGCACAGAGAGTTTTATCACTCCTGTCTTCCTCTGTTGCTCTGCTTCCAGCCTGCAGCGCTGCTTCCAGTGCAGCTTGTTTTAAGTAGAGCTTTTATCCAATCAGATTTCACCCCTAGGTCTCTATGTAAGGAGAGAGGCCCGAGGTCCTCTAGGTAGACTTTGCAGATTAAGTGAATGGGGACGATATTGTTGATTGTCATAGTGTTCAACCAATCTGATCTTTAGTTTGACATGTTGGGCGTATTCTTTGACGTGCCGATGCTACCCAGGTAGCCTGCTAAGTACGTCAGCATTAACGTGCGCCGTGATTAGTCAGTGGGCGAGTGCGTGACTAATGTGAAATTAAAGGAAGCTGGCAGAAGTTAGTTGGAGCAGTAAGAGTTCAAATTGAAAGATATGGAAGAAATTATAAAATGTTTAGGGTTTTGCTTGGTGTAGTTTAATTATTTGTATGAACGGTGTTCCTGGCTGACAGCGTTGCACATTTCATGGCTGGGAATGTGTTTCATTTTAACTGAGCATCTTGGTGTTTGGAGCTATGCTACGCTAACCTGAGGACGCCATAGCACCACGGTACTTTTGAAAACTTTTGGGAGAAACCTGAGTGGATCTACAGATCAACACGTTCGCAGGGAAACGCAGCTCCACAATTGCGGTCCGCCCGCGGCCGGGGGCTGGTGGTCGCGGTCGGTCCGCAGCCGGGGGCCGGCGGTCCGTGGTCGCAGTCGGCTGTCGCCGGCCGGTCGCGGTCGATTCGTCCATGAATCGAGAAGGATTTCTTACTGGAACTGAAACCATGTACTGGGATTAAACTCTTTAACAAAGAAAGGAGGATGGACTTTGTCTTTAAGTGAACAGCATTCGATAAGTGACAAACTGCATTTGTTTTTGACATTTGCAGTAACGTTACTACTGTTCATTTGTTTATCATGTCGTTTTTATGAATAATATTTGAATGGCTCGTGCTCTTGTGTGGTGGAATGCATGGATCCGCTGCAGGTCTGCTGGATTGATGTGTCATGCTTTGTTGTCATATAAATATATGTGACTGGTTCTTATGACTTTGTTGTTGTCATTGTTGATTTGACTATGCATTGTCCGTTAATGACGCAGCGTCCCGTCATACACGGATTCATGTATCTGCACCGTAGCTGTTCAACTGTAGTAGGACAGCACAGAAGGCCCAGGTATAAAATGCACGGCCCGCCACTGATGTGCATGTATGTGGGGGGTGTATGTGTGTAGGGGAGGAGTGAACTACTCAGACAGTGGTAGAATGTAATCTCAAGCGGGGCCGGGGCCCGTGGGCCTACAAACAAGATGGCGGAGGTAAGAGAACTACTACAAAATAGGGGAGGTGGCTATGTATGTAACCACGTGGATCGACGCACAATGTGGGTTGAGACAATAGACTACGTTCACCTACGTGTCTGAGATGGTTAGCTAAGTCAGTATGTGTGTCTAACTATGTGTGTGCGTGTTAGTAGGAAGAGAGAGAGAGAAAGAAAGGAAAGCCGAACTCTAAAGCACGGCACTTAGCGCCGCCGTAAGATGTAAGAAGAGCTTTTCTATCACGTAAAAACTCTGCCACGTTTATACAGTGATAGTTACAGTTCTAAATCCTACTCACGGAGCCGATTGAAAGAAGAGAAAACAAAACGAACAAAATAAAATAATCCCCAAATCAAAGCAGATCTTTATCACCGCGGTGAAATATGAATATTACTTTGCTTTCTTATCACCCCGGAACCTGGCCGGCGAATCGAGGTTCGGCCCGCCGTGGTTCTGGTCTTTAAAGTAATAAAATCACAATCTCCAAATTCACTGGCAGTGACTGATCTAATACAACACGGTTACAGCTGCAGGAAATACACAGTATAGCAGGACTCAGCGGTCCGTGATGCTTGCACAATAACACCTTCTAAACACTACATTAAACAAAACAAGCTAAGGAATAACACACTAAATGACCTAAATTAAGCCCAAACACCAGATAAACTCTTACTATGAGAAGGTTTCTTTTGGTCGAATCGGTCCTTCGAGTGGGGAACTCCACTCGGTTGCACAGCTCCAAGCGTGGCGCAATTCAGCCTCAGTCTCTGCAGAGAGGAGGGCTCTTCGGCGAAGAAAAGGGGAATTGTCATCCTTTGGCCGGCACTGTATACAATAATGGTGAGAGAACGGGTCGTAGAAGTTATCCATTCTCTCACTGCAGGATCCAAAAACAAAAATATAAAACACAGTCTATGCTCGTCCAGCGAATTTGACTTGAGACCTAACAGAATTTCTTGAGAGGCAAACGTTTCCTTGTGGACCTCCTGGCACCAAACGAGTTTGGACAGAAAGGGGATATTTGAAACTCGGGCTTGGTTTTATCAGATGCCTGTCCTCAGGTCATAAAACCGGTGGGGGGTCCCTTTTGTCCAATGAGGGGCCAGCATTTAAATTTGGCTGGAGCTGTTAGGTGTGGCACATTCCTTAGATCTTGAGTGTCGCATCTACCAGGATCAGGCCTCTTGTTAAGCATCAGGCCAACATATGCTCCTTTGTTTAAAAGCACATGTGAGGGCCTTAGTCAGCCATCAGTTCAGAGTCAGACCCCAACACACATCATACACACACGCACAGTAGAAGAGAGAGAAGTATTTTATCTCACACACTCAGTGAACTAAAGAACACATGACTTCATGTCCATATTTTCTCTGGAATCCCACACTCCTGTGATCTTCTCTTTGATAATGATGAAACAGCATCAGCACCAGTGTGCGAAACACAGGGTGTCTCAGGGGTCCGAGACTTCTTGATTGACACTTCAGACCCCCTGCAGCCCCACTGGTGGGGTCTCTTAATCTTTTAGTGACTACAGCCCCCTAGCCCTATTTTTAGGCCTCTGCTCGAAAATTGTATACCCATACTTAAAGACTGTAGATCTGAAACTACAAGGTCTATTTTAATAATTTTGATGGTATAATACAGGTAAAACTTGTGAGAGACTTGTTCAGATGTGTAAATATTGTGTATATGTTACTGGTTAATAGTGAACGAAGATGGCACACAGCTCAAATTGAAAACTTTCAGGTTCGCCTGAAAAAAAAGCACTTTTATTGAACATTGTTTTTGAAATAATGCAGATTGAAGCCTAAAAATACTCCACATTCATAGCACAACAGGTTTGTGGTCTGTCCAAGCTAATTTTACTTAGCAGGCCAGCATAAAAGAGGACTGAGTACAGAATTTCAAGCCAAATTTTAATTTTTGGAACC